AACTCCATTGCGAGATGACAAAACAGTGAGGCCACGTTCCGTAATGGTAAAATTCCTATTTTCATTCCTATTTTCTCGTTCTCGAGGGAGAAGGGTGCGGGTACGGTTGCCCCCGTGGAGGTGGAGATGAGGCGGCACGCGCGGAGTTGGATGGGGGAGGAAAGCGGGGAGACGGCGCGGAGCAGAGGAAGGAGGCAATTTTGGAGGTGCAGCATGGCGGCGACCCAGCGACGGAGCCGCGGAGGAGCACCGCCGCGCCAGGCCAGGTGAGAGGATGTGCAGCAGGGCAGGCTCGCAGAGTCGCAGTCGAAAGCAGGCTACGCGACGGGCTCGAGGGACGCTGCCAGCCCATATGATGGGATGAGTAAGCTCGGCTGACACACAGGCTGTGGCCCAGTTGGCCACGCATCAGCGGCAGCCCAACCAGAAAGGAAAAAAAAGGTCAATTTTCCGTGGTCTGAGTTTACTACTGAGTACTGAACTTCACCAACTACTAAACTTCAAAGTCAAGCATCTTTCTCTTAGAACCGTTCAATTTACCTCCGTATCCTGTTTTGAAGTGGCTTGGCGTTTTGTTTTTTTTCGAAAAAACAATAAACACTTATATTTTTAAACTACAAAAAAATCTCTAAACTTCTCAAAATTTTGAGAAAAATCTTAGAGATAGATTGGGATAAGAAAAATATAAATAAAATATTTAGGTCCCGTGAAAATATCTCTAGATGCCTCAAAAAATAATGTTAGTTCTAAAAATAGGAAAAATCTAGAAAATTCACAAAACATTATAATAGATTTCTAAACATGTTTTTGAAAACTTTTCTGAAAAAAAAAAACAATACACAATTAACATGAATGCATTCAACATTAATGTGTGTTGCATTCATATTGGTCGCATATCATATATTTTTACGTGCAAAATTTTTAAAACATGTTTATATACCAATTATAATGTTTTAGGAAATTTTCTAGTTTTTATATATATTTTCCCCATTTTCATAGAGCTAAATCTTAACTTTTTAAGCTTTTAAAGATATTTTCATGAGCTCTAAATATTTTATTTGAACTTGTCATGTGCTAATCTATCTCTAAGTTTTTCATTCGAAAGTTTTAGAAACTTAGAGACATTTAAACCATATCAAGTACCTATCCAATTTTTTAACTACAAAAAATTACAAAACCACTTCAAACCAAAGGCAGAAAGACATGCATATAGCAAAGCCCTAGGCGCCCAGTCCTTAACTGCTTGAAAAAGACGTTCGCACAATGAAGCCACCTTGTTGTATCATGGGTTTGAACTCATCGCCTCACACTGCAATTAGATACTATTAGTTTAGTGGATAATGAAATTTAAGATCTGTACATCAATTTCCTTGTGGACAGTTTGTCAAATATAATTACTACTACTAACATTTACATGTTGTGATAAATAGGTTGTAACTGCCTAGTTAGGGCATATTTGGAACGTAGAAATTTTACAGAAATAATATAGGAATTTTTTAGATTTTTTTTTTCTCTTTTATTGTTTAATAAAACTTGCGGCAAAGCTTTTGCTGTCCTTTCTAAAAAAATATAGGAATTTTAAAGAAACATGAAAAAATTTCGTGTTCCCAACAGGGCCTAGTGATTCTGATGTCAACCCTGTGTCCTGTTTATTTGACTTCTTGAGCAATATTTAAATTAATGTTAACTAAATTGGATTAATGTTAACTAAATTGGATACTTGAACCATTTGTGGTTGTGGATTTGCCCAACCTTTTCAGCAAGGAATTATGCTTGTGTATTTGAAAGGAAATAATGAGTTGTAGGTTAGCAGCTGAAGATATATATACTTTTTACGTCCTGTTTTGTTTATCTTGTAGTATTAACGGTTTCTCGTTTCATCTCTGCAGTGTGGTCTATCCAAATGGTTCACAGGAGAAGTCACAGACTCACAATATGGGCATTCGTCCATTTCTTACATGCTAAATTCCTAACAACGAGGAACACGTGGTCTGGGACCTTCGTGAACTACATCAAAATCCAGAAGACACCTAGAACTGATTGTCCAGGTATGCAGTTATTGTACTTCAGTTTTTTGTTTTGTTGATATTGTTCCTGCTATTTTGTTATTGAAGCACCAGAAAGACGAAAGTAAAACAGAAGTTTAATTATCAAGATGGAGATGTGGACAGCTATTCCGCATGACTAGTTCTACTAGGAACCTAGTTAGATATACTCCTTGTTTATTTTTTGAAGGTGTTAGATATACTGTTGATCCTAAGGTGATATTTTGTCTTCATTTCCAAACAGAGAAATTCACATGTCACGAAGTCACTGCAGCCACTTGCCGTGGAAAATTGTTCCGTATCCAAATTTCCAGTGGATTTGATTCAACTTGCCTCCCTGGCTCTCAGCCCATTGGTGATCATTTTTAGGAGATCACCAGGGGATGATGTATCACCACCTGGATTTTCATTACCCCATATGCCAGCAAATTTTCATTGGTGGCACCAGTACTGTAGGTGAATCAAAAGGGTCAATTGCTATTCAGAGGATGCTCTTGCAAAAGGGCAAATTGCTATTCAGCTAGAGCGGGTACAAATGAATCTGCTTTGGTGACAATGGGACCTGCTCTCAGCATCTCATGCCGTCATGCAGGAACTCAATGGCCACAGATTTATCATCTCATCATCTGAAGTTCTGAACTCTAATATGGTACGTTTCCCCTTAACGTGATTTTTATCGTGCTGTGAAGGATTTGACATGCATCACGTCTTAACTGTTTGCATATGTTATTCAGACCGAAGATTCTGCAGTAAGCAGTAGCATGGCATGATTTTCACAAATACGGGAATCGTCCCCAAATATGACAGATCAAGTGTTAGAAAAATATGGCCCATCAGAAGATGGATTCGAGATCATCACACAGAAAGATCAGAAGGATAATTCTCTCCCTCTGTCTTATCAAGATTTATACAAGAAATACGGAGCAGCATGACAAGAATCAGCAAACAAGATGCTCGGTTTCAAGACATTTTTACAGACTAAAAAACGATTAGGCAAAATTGTGCAAAATTCCAATTCTACATATAGTCCACATGTTCCCTTTCCACCAATTTCCTACTCTAATGTAACTGAAAGCAGGCACAACACTATGCCTCATCACCTGAATTCTCAGTTCTTTTTCATGAGGTACACAAGATAGTTCAAATGCCGCACTTCCAGTTTCAGGCCCTCGTTTTCACATCCTAGGAAGAAATCTGATGGATCGATTTTTCCCAAAGAAGCAAGTGAGGGCATAAGCGATTGATGATTCATTGATTCTATGTCTCCTAGCGTTTCCTTGAATTTGTACAAATGCATGAGTGGAAAACATTCATTCCTCCCTGAACTTGAATCAATTTCCAAACAAATGAGAAATTGTCAAATGGTTTCGGCAGTTGGGGAGCGAGGATTACTTTTCTTGTTGTTATTTGTTCGCTTTTGGATGCAGTTTCAATTGATTCTTTGCTATCAAGTCATAATTTTTTTGTTTGGCCAATTGTCAAATGCTGCATATAATCTGAACGGCTAAAATTCCTGGGAGGATCATGAGGGTTAACAATGTGAACAAGTACAATAACTCGAATTTTCATGTCTGTAAGCATTAGCATTTTCAAGTCTACAGGCATGCGCTGTTGCGAAACACGAGTTCAAGGGAATTTCTGGCAAGTGATGTCTGGTAGTAAGGATTACTAATCACGAGAACTGATTTGCTAAGGTCAGACCCTGAAAAACAATTCCTAAGGCAAGATTGTGTTTAATTTTGATTGGAAGTTGGAACAATACTGCAAAGATGTTATTACAATATATTTCTTATTTCAACTTTTGAAGGACAAAATTTCTGTTTATTTAGTGCAGAACATCCATTCATTGTAGGAGGGTAATTCCCCTCATACTGACAGTAGTACTTACAAATGGTGTAAACCCATCATGTGAGGTGATGTGAACCCAGAATCCATGGTATATAACATATATGAAGAAACCTTATAAATAGTACCATGCCTGCTATCTATCATCCACGTGCTATAAAAGTAGAAATGTTTCGAGAGGAACTCCTTAAAATTACAAAACTAATAAAATGGTAACTATGCTAAATTAGTATCCTCTCATACAAAGTCAAGCATCTCTCTTACAACATGCCATTTATTTTCAGCTGTTAGCATCTCATTCCCTTACAAGCCAAACAAACAACCATCTTTTGCACGTGGGCAGAACGTCCATGGCACCCAAAACATTTCTTAGGATATTTCATTGGTCCTTACAACACAGGCTTTTCAAAATTGTTCCAGAGAGTTTCTATTCAGTAGCACTTTAGGCCAGTACCTGGAATCTACTAGTTCAGCCTCAATCATGTACAATGTAAGCATCACTAAAACAAAACAAAAAAAGAATAATTCATTCAGCAAGTGAGAACTAGGTAAAACATCAGTTGGAATAAAAACATGCTAATAAAAAATGGTTAGATACCAGAAAAGTGGATTACTGTCAAATTCGAAATAGCATAATAAGTTGTACAGTACAGACTTATTCACAGAAGAAAAGTTAGATAACCTTCAGCAGTGACCTAGGCAGAAAACTAACAAACATGCATTTAGCCTCTAGAACAAGTCAAACCCAGCTCCTCCATAAATAATAGCATGAGGGTCAGAGATCATTGGTGATTCTACTGCAGAAATCAGAATTGAGGGTCTATGAGCAGTCAGAGATAGCTGGTGATTCTATTGCAGAAACCAGAATTGAGAAGGCCTGCAAAGTGGGCATCTGCTAATGAGCATGAATTGCAGTCCCGCCATCCGCCTAAAACACAAAAGGAGATGCTAAAATTAGACTCTAGAGGGCACAGCAATACCAGCACAAGCTGTAGCATAAGCATCTGCAAGGCCAGGAACATAGTCCTTGTGACAATCGATGAATGTCAGTTTGAAAGTTTCCTCTCCAAATTTAATAAATGTGAAAAGGCTCATATTGGTACCTAGCAATCATTTTTCCTGCAGGACCTTCATGACATAATGTCGGGGCACAAGCCGCTTCTCCAGGCTGTATGTGGGCAAAACAGGCCTTTCCACAATGTCCCGTGCCTCCACTGCAGCCTCATTGACAAGAAACTCAATCTTGCGAAGAAGAACCTCGTCAGATAATTCTAATATAGTTGGCTTATTGGACACTGCAGTGGAAACCTCAGACTCACAACAACCAAGAGTCCTCTTAAAGAATTCAAGCTTGGCAGCAACCTTCTCTTTGGAATTATTGGCAATGACGGACACCGCGAGTCTAAACATCCGCGAAGTGGGAGGCACCCCAAGTTCTTCTGCCCGCAGCAAAACCTCCTTCACGCGTTCCGGGTAGAAGGTAAGCACCCACCCGTTTTTTTCTAAAGCTTAGCAATATCTCGAACACCCCACTGACGAAACAAAGCTATGTTAGGCTTGATTACCCTCTCAAGGCCCGCCCTGAGGAAGGCCGCATTCCTCTTTGTGACCACCAGGACCTGTTCAAACGAGCGTTAGAAGGATACGAAGAACTCGAGCCTGGCACCTACGTCGCCCTCGCGGAGAGCGCGTGAGCCAACCAAGAGGAAGCGAGCGATCTGGGGAGTAGAGAGACCGACGCGGTCGCGGAGAGCAAGAAGGCGGGGTGCGATGTTCTTCACCGACGCACGGAGGAGCAGCGGGTCCGCGGAGACAACGACGGCGATGTCAGCGCGGGAGAGGCTGGCGCCGGAGAGCAGGGAGAGGATAGCATCAGAGTTGGAGGCAGAGTTGAGACGGGAGTAGGAGAGCTCTAACTCGCGGGACGCCTTCCTGGACACCTCGCGGGACACCTTCTTGGACGCCTCGCGGACTTGGGTTTGGGCGAGGCCGCAGGCAGCAACAAGGTAGTCCTCGAGGGAGAAGGCCGTGGGGAGGGTGGTGGAGGTGGAGAGAAGGCGGCGGCACGCGCGGGGGTGGATTGGGGAGTGTAGAGTGGAGGCGGCGCGGAGCAGAGGGAGGAAGCGATTTCGGAGTTGCATCATGGCGGCGGCGGAGGGGAGGCCGCGGCGAGGGCGCCAGACCAGGTGAGAGGAGGGCAGGAGGCTGCGATGCAACGGCTCGCTCGAGGGACGCTTGGCCGCGCATCCGTGGCGGCCGACACGAAAACCTCAGGCCCCTTCACTCCTTCGGATGGAGGAGGAAGGAGATGATGGATTCATCGTACCATTGTATGGGCAGTAGCCTGTGGGCTGGTCCATGGGCCAAGTGCTGCGAGTGGCTCATTGAGCCCATCGCCCCCCATGATCAAATCGGTGACCGAGACTAGCAGCACTGGCTGCCTTTATCGTTTGTAGCCACACTACCCAAATCCAAATTAGCACATTTCTCCAGACTTCAAGAGCAACGACCAAGAGAACTATGGTTTCCCTTTTCTTTTGAAAAACTATTTTCATAATTTTTTATTTTAAAAAGTTACAAAGTTATATTCATAACTCTTAAGTACGTATAATATTTTGCGAAAATAATTTATCACCATAACTTCCAATCATGTTTTTCGATATATTTTTATAACTTTATAGATAATTTATCTTGACAAGTTTTCTATATGACCTTTAGAAACGATTCCACGGATATGGTATATGGTATCCTATTCGACATGTTCATCATGTTTTCTCACTCTTTTTTCTCCTTTTATTTATTTTTTCTTTCCTTATTTTTATTTTTATATTAGCCTACCTATTTTCCTTCTACATATTATGACTAGGTGTTTTTTCACGTTGATAAGTTTATCCAAAACAAATTGTGTAAATAAATGAGTTGGATATGTTTTGTATAAATTTTTTTAAACCCATTGAACAACAAAAAGTTATGTGTGTATATAATATAAATTAAAAATTTATTACATAAAAGTGTATAGCTAGATAGCTTATGTTAAAAATTTGTTATGATAAATTTGTCCGTTGACAGTTATTAACAAAAACTGGATTATAGATGTTAAGTAGAAAAACTGTCATGATAAGCTGTCCATGCAAAGAAAGTTAGTAATAAGTTTTGTCCTACAAAATATTGTGCATTATTAAAGTTGTACGTATAGCTTTGGAACTTCTTGGAAATGAAAGTTGCATAAACCTTTTTTTTCTTTTCTTTTTTTTTTAAAGAAGAAAGTGGCGTAGATTTGTTTGATGGTTTGATTTGATTTAAAACGAACGTTCGTTGATTCTTGGAGTCAACCACGCGAACACCAAAACGCCCCTCCGCCAAAGCTCGGACGATCACGTACTGCATGATGGAATGGATCCGTGCGTGGGTCGTTACAATCGCAGATCTAATGTGTGACGACGTGTGAGCCAACGAGGTCTAGTGACAGATCTAGAAATTGTATGGGACCAGGACTGGTTAGTGGCTGACTCTGCTAGCTATAGTTAACCACGTATAATTTTTGTAATTTTATTACCTGGTACACTTTTTAAGTAGCTTTGTTATAATGATTTTTGCTTGTCTACTAGCAGGACTCGGAGCCCGGGCAGCACGGGGCGTATAGACTATACGGAGTAGACAGTGTAACAGTTTAGTACTGCCGGACGATAGCACTACGTACCCTAGCTTTTGGACGTTTCGCGAGTGGCGCCACTAGTGTGCCGCGTCAAGCCATCAAATCGGAAAGGATGCCCCCACCCCCCCAAAGCCGAGCAAGATATTTTGCGAGGCTCCATCCATTCTAGCAGTATACACATTAACATTGTCGATCTTATCTTGTTTATAATCGAGCGATGCCGATGCATGCATTATCTGCCAAGCTTGGAGATAAGGATGACGATGGGCCATCCCACCAAAACACAGCCATTAAATTAAACAAAGAGGTGTCCGTCCGTGACTTTGGGGCGACCCGGCCGGCCGGAGGAGAGGATGACGATGGAGCCGCACAGGCGTTGACACGCCCGCGGGCCGCCGTGGCACAGGACAAAGGACGCGCTCCGAGTCTATCTGTCCATCCAGACGTGTCTGTTCCAGTGTTCCGTATCTATGGCGCAGGATGCTGCTGGCAACTCTCTCCGTGCTTCTTTTTTTCTTTTCTTTTTTGCTAAAAGATAAAAAGAAAATGGAAGGTCCTGCACGTAGCGTCAGCAAAGTACGTAGGTGCGCGCGTCCCCGTCGGAGCTGGAACGCCGTGCACTGCAGATGATCCCGTAGATACCAGCCGGGTTATTGCTTTGTTTACCGCCTGTTAGCTGCTGTCCTGTCCAGTTCGTGGACCAACAAGTTGCTGCTGCTGCTGAAATGATGATCAGGAACGAGGAACCGGATCTGCTGCTGGCTTTCTGCTTTCGTACGTGTAAAATTTAAATAGGAGTAAACATTTTTGTTCAAGGTAGTCATGGTCATCCAATGGACGATGAGTAGCAGTAGTAGTGTGCTAAGAATTATGAACAAAATAATTGGAGAATAATAACAATTTGCAGTACTAGGGTTATTAGAGATAGGGACGGACACTCATCCGCCTGTCATGACATGATATCTTCCAGAGACATCGTCCACGCGTACAAACGAAGAAAACCTGTGTGCTCTGCTGCTAATCCTGTGTGCTCTGCAGCCGCCGCCGCCTCAAAAGTCAAGCCCCACCGCGTATATAAAAACGACCGCCTGCCGCCGAGGCTTATCTAATACCACTACACACTACTGCCTCATACTCATCCAGTTTGTGTGAACTGAAAGATCATAAGGCTCTGTCACTCTCAGTCACGGCCTGAGTTTCTGCAACCGTGACTAGTTTCGTGCTCGTGCTTGTGGGACGCAAGATGGGGTCTCTCATGGCTGGCTGGGACTCGCCGGTTCTTGGCGACGACGGCAAGAAAGGTACGCGGAAGAAGATGGGCACATCTCTCTAGTCTCGATCTAGAGCTCTCTGCTGGAACTCTGATGTAAAATACTGTATATATACTGGTGCTGATCAGTTCTCGCGCGCCGGAACCGATCGCTGACTAAGGAGGAAGTGGAGGCGTTCTGGAAGCAGCAGCGTCGGAGTCGGATGTCGTCGGAGGACGGCGGCGAGCTCGCCTCGCCTCTTGCCTCGCCGCCGGCCACCGCCACGGTACGTACTTACTACTACTCTCTGAATGTCTCTCTCATAATGTCTGCGGCGTTCCTTGCTTTTGCTGTCTCGTCTCGTTGCGCATGCATGCTCACAGTATTAGCTCATCATCACAAATCCCACAAGCCTGACGTACGTACGGAATTAATGACTACGATGACGTGGCATGCAGTGGCAGGAGAGCCCGTTCGGGAGCTCGGAGAGGCCGGCGGTGGTCCGCGTGGACGGCTTCCTCCCGGGCGGCGGATCCGGAGACGACGACGCGGCGGACAGCCCCAGCAGGAGCCGCGACTGGTGGACGCGGAGCAGCTGGGCGTTCCTCAACGAGCCGCCGCAGGAGGAGCCCTCCGCCAGGGCGCAGCGCTACACGCCGCAGTTCCACGTCGCACACATCGCCACCACTCGCGACGACTGATCGATCGAGAACGCCGGCAAGGCGGCAACCATGCACGCGCAGGCCGCGCCCAGTCGACGTACCGGCCGTCCGGTCCATGTTTCATCCATCGTCGTCGTCGTTCTTTTGTATATGTACAGTAGTATGCCTATGATAATTTTTTGCTACCACAGTTGAGTTTGAGTATATATATATGTATGTACTCCTTATTAGGCTGCATACGTACTAGCCCTGTTTGCTTGAACTTATTTGTTACTGTTTGCTTTAAACTTATTCAGAACTATAAAATTTTTAGTTATCTTCTTCTTTGTTGAGTGAAACATTTTCTCTCGATTACGACAGACGAGTAAGTGACAGAAGATAAAGTATCAACATCGACGATCGGCTCGTGGTGTTTAAATTTGACGAAGCATCAGACGACCCGCCAGGGTTACTATGTATAGCAATCTAGCTAGCGGATGTGTGTCGATCGAGCTGGCAAGATCTATTAGGTGCATGTAAAAATGTCTGTTCATCGTTCCGAAAATTACCCGTGTACTTGGCACCAGATGTTCACGCACCAGCCATATAAACATGACGCGCTACAGTTCTTCTTCTTCTTTATTGAATCTTTTCGTGTGTGAAACATTGGTTTTCTCGATTTAATTAGCATCTAACATGGACAGACGAGTAAGTGACAGACGACACACCATGCATCATCGTTCCTGTTCTGATCGATCGACGATCGGCTCATGGTGGTTTCAGCATTCATTCAGCTGCTGACGAATGCTGCTCAGACTTGGTCAGACCCCGCCAGCCCGTTCGTCGATCTACGTCTTACGGTAATGCTGGCAAAGAGCGTCCGTCCGCGTGGACCTTTCGTTTATTGGGCTATGACGCTAGCCCAACGATCTCTCCTATCTACTCGGGAGTTTCTTAAAAGAGAGAGAAAAGAAATTGGTCTTTCGGCCTCGCGGCCCTCTTCCTTCCTCACCGTCACACTTTCCGGCATCCCCGCGAGAAGCTCACATCCGATCAGAAAATATGATTTCAAGTTTGTTACGCATGTACGAAAAATATTTGCCATGCATGTCGTGTAGAAAAATTATGAGGTGTAGTTCCGCAAAATTTGTATAAAACATGCATGTGATAATTTTTGTACAGTGATTATTTACTATTTAGAACCTAGAAAAATACTAAATCTGTTGTTTGACACTTTTCATAATACAAAGTATTTTCATGCTCATATTTAGTCCAAGCTTGTCATTTTGTGTAGGTCGTATTTTCATGCTCATAAGGACTACCTTGTATGAGATTTGTATTATACTCTCCCCATTAAAGTTTAATCGCTCATCTACCTTGGGTGCATTATCCATTGTGATTTCAATTTTCATTTTGTGTAACCTATTCCACTTATCCAAATACTATAAAATTTGAGTAGACTACTTAGGCCCCACCGCCTCCCGATCTTTTATGCGGCATCGCTTTTGCATCTTTGCGTGAGATGTGTTGACAGCGCTGCACTCCCCTGCGTGCCACGGAGGACCGCGCTTAAATTGAGGTGTGGCGGATCAAAGGCCGTGCGTGCGCAAGAAGTGGACAAAGCAGCAGACGAGGAGGACGTTGAGGAACCGCCATTGCTCTTCTTCCGAGATCCGTCCGCCACCTCCTTGAACTCGATGTGGGAGCCATCTGATCCTCTCGCTGACACTTGCAAGTGTTACAAGTGTTGCATCTTCCTTTGTATGTTACAAGTGTTGCATCTGGATATATTTCCAAAGTAGATTGCGTGTTGCATATGGGATGCACATGGAAAACGGGAAGGGGCGTGGCGGTACTTACTCATCAGATCAATCGCCTTTTATTCTCGCTGATGGTGATGCTTAGACCATGGGCATGTCATTCCCAAGTCTCTGCTAATGCTTTTGTTGAGATGATCAGAAGTCGGCCCCGCATGAAACGGCTGCTTCCTTCTTTGAGATCCATCCACCTGGGGCGACGTCCGGGCAGCGTGGCCCCCCACATGGGCACCCGAAACGCGGGCACCGGCGTGCGATGTCCGGGCAGCGCGGCCCCGCGTGGACGTGTGAAATGAGGCGCAGAAACGGACTGTAGCCACGGGCGTGGGGCACTAACAGTACCGTTCATCTTATTAGACACAAGTCCTGCTTGAAGGTATCTCGCTGTTCTCGTATAATAAAACTTGTGGCAAAACTTTTGCCGTGCTTTAAAAAAAAGTATATCGCTGTCTAAAAGTTTTTTCTTGACCCTAGCTCGACCCATTGAAAACTCGCGGAACTTGTTAGGCCGAGCCCCGCCCGAAATTGCAGGCCGAAAGAACTTGCCTAAGCTCGAAGCCTCGAAATCCAGTCGAGAAGCATGCTCGACTCGGCTCGACTTTTTGCTCGGGAGGAGGGCGGAGGCCCGGGTTTGCGACTTGTTTGGGCGGCCCGGATCCTCAATCATCCCAGGCCGACTGCGATAGGGCCGGGCCGAGAAACCTTTCCCTACGGCGCGCCTCCTCCCCTTCCCACCCTTAACAGCGAAGAGTCCACTCATGGAGACCGCCGTCTTCTCCGCCGCCTCCCTCTTCCACGGCGCCGACGACAGCGACGACGACCGAGGTATGAGCATAAAAGCAACCCCAACCCAACCCTCCTCACATCCTTCCCCTCTACGTCGCTCGCCGCGTGCTCCTAACGGCCGGTGCTTTCTTGTCTGCGGGGTTGAAGACGAGATGCAGGTCAGCGCCGAGGGGAAGAAGCCGGTGGCGTTGGAGTATGAGGAGAGAGCCCACGACTTCCCTGGCATGGTATGGTTCCACGATTCCGCAGTTTTGGTTCGCGTCTGTAGGAACTGGGAACGGTGCTTCTTCTCTGGAATCCGGAAAGGCCCGGGGTTTGAACTATTATTTAATATTTACACTTCTCGCCTTCTCGGCTTTCAGTTCGGATTTTCCTATTATTAGAGAATTGATGAACGAGTTATACCTAAATGGATAGAAACGAGTGAAAAACATTTTAGGAATTCGACTTGCTCTGTGTTTTTGTGTTTTATTGGGGTTGTATGGCCTCATGGGCAAGGCAGATCCACTGAAGAACTGACATGATGTTTTGCAAAATACAACAGCTATGGTTCAGTTTAGTAATCCTCTAATTGTTAAACTACGGACAGCTTAGCTTCCCCGTGAATTATGTTGCGCCAAACTCAGCAAAGTATAATGAAAAATCAAAAATAGAGTGGTTGTTAATTCAGTACAAAGGATCCTGTAGTGGGCAGAGGTAGATTTTTAAATCATTAATGGCTCCAAAATATTTGGGTTGGCCCAATTGATTTTCATATTTGGTTACTGACTTAGCCTACTTTTGAATAGTATAAGTATATGGATGTGCTGCTTGCTCTAAAATCATGTTGCTACATTCTTGGATGTTTTAGCAATTTAGCATACAGTAGAGTTCATGGGTCTGCATCGATAAATCCACATGCTTAAAATAAAATGACTAACCGGCTATTTCGATTCTATATCAAAGGCTGCTCAACTTGTAACTATTATTCAACAAGAGTTACGCGAATTTATCGATTTCAATTTCATGATAGCCATTCCTTATTGCATTATTACAGTTTTTCTTAATCTGGCTTGCGCTCAATTGTCCTCATTTTCCTTTTCATATTTATCTATTTGTTCACCATTCAAAAATTGATATACAGAAACTGAGTGTAAGGGAGTTCTCATGCCATGAGCTTAATGCCAACCTGTTGTGGCCCGGGACATTTTCATTTGCTACATGGCTGGTTAAGAACCAGTCGATTTTGGATGGACGACGTGTCCTGGAATTAGGAAGGTATGGTTGCTATGCTCTTACTGTAACGGCGTCTTTTCTTTTCTTTCTTTCTTTCCTGACCAATTCAATCCAAGTGGTCACTTTATATATGACTAAAAAGTTTTATAACTACCCCTGTTATTGCCATGTTGGTCCCAATAAGTAACTTAGGATATCGATACATCCATCTCTCAGGTTTTTCTTCTTTGCTGTTAGCACTGACTTGAGGCATGTGATGTGTTTTTTATCATGCTGTCAAAACTTTGCAAAACCATTCCTACTGTGTCAATCCACCAGAAAATTGTAGTCCTAAGCAGCTGGTTGGATGGTGTGATAATGATTCCGTTGTATACTGGTATAATAAACAAAAGGCTATTTTGTTTGACCTGAATACCCTACTGTAATAATGATTTTGTGGTGCAGCAGACAAAATCTCTATTTTGTTTTCCTTTGTCGAATGTAGTCATAAGAACATTGTGTATATTCTACAACTTGTCTATGTTTTTTTCCCATTTGTTCTTGCTTTCCTGCATAGTGGGACAGGAGCTCTGGCTATCTTTCTTAGGAAGGCATTTGAGGTGGACATTACAACCTCTGATTACGATGACAAGGAAATCGAAGAGAATATAGCTTATAATTGCAGTGCGAATACCTTGGATGTGTTACCTCATATCAGACGTAAGTTATCTGACCATTCCAAACAAAATCTATACATTTGTAGTATTTCTTTTTCCCAAATGTGTCCTTCATGTGTATCTAGGATGCACCACCTAAAAGGGGATAATTGTTCTCTTATGTTTCTTTTTAACACACAGACACATGGGGACACCCATTTCCAGTTTCCAGACCAGACTGGGACATTGTCATTGCAAGCGATATCCTACTCTGTAAGTTACCAAGTGTATATATTGGTACCTGATCTCCCAATCTCAATGTGTGATGGAATGACCTAACATGATATACATTCATTGCTTTCAGATGTTAAGCAGTATGACAATCTTATCAAAACAGTGTCCTTTCTTTTGAATGAATACAAGCAGAATGGTCACAAAGCTGACAGCATAACCATCATGAACAAATCAGGTACTCCCTAGACATATATATTTGATTTTGTAAATCATCAAGGATGTTGTGCGAAATGTTTCTTTCACTTGGCAGGAACACAAGTACCTGCAAAATCACCAGTGTTTCTGATGAGCTGGCGCAGAAGAATCGGAAAGGACCAATCACTTTTCTTCAATGGGTGCGAGAAAGCAGGCCTGGAAGTGCAGCACTTGGGTGATCTTGTGTACCTCATCAGCAACAAGAGGTGAAAACTGAGGAAACGATATCCTTGAAAAAATTTTGAGGAAACGACACTCATCGTTAAATTTCTCACGAACGGCACAGGGGAATATACCTGGGTGGTCAGTGTTAGGGATGGAAACGTGGATTTTGAGTAGGTTTTGTTAGTGATATTTTGATAAACTTTCCAGTAAACACTGGTTTGTGAGAGGAAGGTACTGGAAGGACCCATTTTGTTTTGTTTTCTTCTCCTGACCCTCTTTCTTCGATTCTAGCTGGGATGTACTGTCGTGACTTACAATTGCAACATACAAAGCAAAAGCTACAATTAGAGAGGCACCCTGCTCATTGGCTACTGGGCTACTGGTCTGATGCCGCTGCTGTATTCGTACAGCAGCAGCAGCAGCTCTGGTGTGAGCGAAAATGGAACCAAGATCGAGCTGCGAAAGCCGAACTTCACACGCTGCAGCGTTTGATTATATTTCTACCTGTCAGAACGACATCGACTTCTCAACAAAGGTCGAAGATGGGCAATCAAATACGGCATGCAATCCGCTTTAGGGAGTGCACAGGTAGGTAGCTTTTGCCAAAAAGCAACAAGATAATTTTCCAAGCAATTAAACGCATGTTTGGTTTGCATAAGTCAGATTCTTTGAAAGCAATGATAACAGCAGAAACAACGCTCATTAAATCCAGCGCGAAAAAAGGGTGACTTATAAGTTTTAAGTAGGGGTGAACCAACTTAAAACTTATAAGCAAAGGTGACTTATAAATTGGTGGTGTTTGGTAAAATAAATCACTTTTTTTACTTTTTAACTTATAAGCAGATGACTTATTTGAACCAAACATGCCCAGCAGAAACAACGATCCAAAGCCAGGCCTGTTTACACGGAGAGGACATCTTACAGCCAGTGCTACTGCGCTAGTGCGTGCAGAGAGGTGAATATTATACACGCGTGCACACTTCAAGCCAAAGCGCTATCTACGAGCACACGGACCAGGCGCATGACATGCACACACGAGTGCGATTAGCTAGGCGTTGCCGGTGATGACGATCCGGTCGGCGTGGAAGCTCCTCTGCGCCCTGCCCAACAGCACCTCCTCCCTTGTCAGCGGCGGCGGCTCGTTCAGGAACGCCCAGCTGCTCCGGGTCCACCTATACGAATCATATATGCAACGCAAGCGTGCACGTACAGTACATGAATCAGTTCTGCATACTTCTGAACACGTACGTACGGTAGCTTGCGTAGTACGTACCAGCCGCGGCTCGTGCCGGAGCTATCAGCGGCGTTCTCGGGGAAGAAGAAGCCCTCCCCGCGGGCCAGGGCCATCGCCGCGGGCGTTGGCGGCTCGCTATGGGAAGAGACTAACTGCTGGTCGCCAGCTCCGTAACCGTAAGCCGAGCAGCACGTCAGGTCGTCGTTGCTCCTCGTGCCGCCGCGGCCAGCTGGCAGCGGAGGCAAGGACCTCGTCACCTCCAGCCGACGCTTAGCGGCGGCGAGCGGGACTAGTATCTCCTGATGAACAGATGAACGATAAGCTATATATATGTATATATATATGCGATGATTTCTTCAACCTGATCGAACAGATTGTTGCGTAATTAATAACGTGCAGCAGTTACCGTACCGGGCGGGGAGAGCCGGCTTTCGGCTCCGGCGCTGTTGGCCTCCCTGCTGCTGCTGCTGCCTCCAGAACGCCGCCACGTCCTCCTTGGTCAGCGACCGGTTCCTCATCAAATGAACTAGGCGCGCAGACGCAGAAGCACATGTGCACACATATATCAGACGGCAACAAGAGTCGTTAGTACCGAGCTAGTACCCGACACAGTTTTGTACATACAACAAGCAAAATTAGTGCAAGTCCTCGAACAAACAAAGATCTGAGCTTGCATGCATGGATGGATGGAGGACACTGGACACATCATGCTATACTTATACCTTCCTTGTCACTCAGTACTGGTGAGCTCCAACCGGACATCAGGGATCCCATCTCTACTACTGTCTGACTCTGATGTCTAGTATATGGATCCTATATATATGGACAGCAACTCTGTTCTACGCACCCTGAAAGAACTGTATATGTGAGACGATGGACGATGGACGAACGATCGATACTGATAGCTCTCTGAACTCTGAACAGCAACCCATTTTATAGACGAACCAGATTTGTGGCGATGGATGGCGCCAGAGCAGCTGTCACAGAACAAGGCATTGTTTCCTTTCAAGGTTTCTTTGGACCAATATACAGCTCAGTACTACTGCTGCGTCATCCGTGCAAACGTATCCTTTTCGTTCAAATACTCTCTCTCTCCCCTTCTCGTTCGTTCAGGTCCTCTTTGGCAGAGCTAGCTAAAACACTGCTAAAGTGCTAAGAATTGAATGTGTGCCTCTCTCTCTCATGCATGCAGCTACCCGTCGACTACACACACGCGTCGCTACCCAGAGTCGCCAGTAGCACCCATGCCGGCCTCGATCTCATCCTGCCGCCGGGAAATGCGTCGATGCACTGCACTGCACTGCGGCTCGTCCTTATCAGGATTCAGGAAGCCTCATCTCCTCCCTGTTCGCATCCGGCGACAGTGTCCAGCGGGGCCGGGCAGAGAGCTTATCTTTCCGTAGCAGGCCGGTTTCACATGGGCCGGGCCCAAGTAGGACGCCTGTCCACCTGGGCCTTGCCTCACCAGCTTATATTGATCCATTAATTATTTTGTTTTTTTGTTCTTCCTCTTTTGTTTTTGAGAGGGAGAGAGAGGATTCCTTTTTGCCCTATTCGGCTTGCTGAAACTTGTTGTGGCTGAAAAATACTGTTTTTGGCTGAATTGTTGTGAGAGAAAAATATTACTCCGGCTGAAAAAACAAGTTGAATAGTGTGGATTATAAGGTAAGCCGAACGGGACCGAAGGCCAGTTCATGGAAGATTCGCCATGTTCTTTCGATCCATTGGCCTGGGCCAGTTCATGAAGATTCGCCATGTTATCATCCACGACGAGATTTCTTGGCGACCAGGGCTTAGATTAGATTGGGGTTAGGAATCAGTATTTGGCATTGTAGCACTTTCGTTTGTATTTGATAATTATTGTCCAATCATGGTCTAACTAGGCTCAAAAGATTCGTCTCGTAATTTATAATTAAACTGTGTACAACAACAACAACAACAACAAAGCCTTTAAGTCCCAAACAAGTCTCAAACTGTGTAATTAATTATTTTTTATCTACATTTAATACTCCATACATATGTCAAAAATTTGATATAACGAAGAAAAAGTAAAAAAACTTACAATCTAAACGAGGTCAGAGAGATCATCCGAAGCAGGAGAAGAAGATGCCGTCACGCCGTACAAATGCAAGGGAATATATAATAAATAAATAAAAATAAAATAGAGCAGGGCGGCAGGGCTTCGCAGGCGCCGAGGGGAAGACGACGGGGACCCACAAGGCGAGATATCCCCGACCTGGCCCCACCCGACAGCGACCCACCCAATCATCACATCCGGCCGTCCCCCTCTGCTTCCACTGCCTCTTCCTTCCTCGGTTCCTCCCTTCCTTCTCCCCTCGCCGACCTCCCCGCGACCCCGCCCGAAACACCCCCCTCCTCCGCTCCCACCGAGGAGGGGAACCTCTATAAAGAGACCGGAACCACGAATCTCTGATATTAAGGAAGGGATCGTGTGGGAGGACGGAGGAGGAGAGAGAGAGAGAGAGAGTCGCGGCCATCCGCCGCGGGATGAAGTTCGGGAAGGATTTCCGGAACCACCTGGAGGAGACGCTGCCGGCGTGGAGGGACAAGTACCTCGCCTACAAGGCCCTCAAGAAGCTCATCAAGAACCTGGTGCCACCCGAGCCCGCGGCGGCCCCTCCTCTCCCTCCTCCTCCTGCCCCCGCCGCCACCGCCGCCGAGGGGCCGGGGCCGGGGGCTGTGGCCGCCGCGCAGGGGAACGTCGACCTGGGAAACTGGTTCGCCAGAATCCTCGACGCGGAGCTGCACAAGCTCAACGAGTTCTACATCGAGAGGGAGGAGTGGTACGTCATCCGCCTCCAGGTGCGCGCCCTGTCCTGCCATCGCTCGTCTATCTGACGTGGTGTGGGGGCATCCAATTGGTGCCGGAGTTACGCCCGATCCCCCTGTTGATCCATTCATTGATTTTGACGGCATGTGCAGTATGCAGTAGGTTTATGTACTGATGGTTAAATCGATCATGGGTACAAGTTTTAACATATGCTGCCTCTGGCGATTAAGTATGTGCACAGGCCTGTTCAGTTCGGAGTGAGTGGCCAGTTCATGATTAATTTTAAGTATGTGCACGGGCCTGTTCAGTTCGGAGTGAGTGGCCAGTTCATGATTAATTGTGGGTAGCAATCTCGGCTTAGTCTACTGTAATTTTGATACCTTCTTCGTGCATATCTTTTGTTGATGACCCGTTCTGAACGAAATGGATGCCTCCAATCCTTTGTGTTGCTTATCAAAGGAGCAAATTTGCTAGGCAAAATCTATTTATGCAGTAATAGTATACTAGTACACCACATCCACGTAGTGGCCTTAATATCTCAAGTTTGCACAAGATCGATCAACTTAGGCATGCTAGCTCAAGTCAACACGGAACACTGACTCATTATCTCAAAACACACACACAACACTGACTCGAATTTTACTTATTTTTGCAATGATGCGAGCATGCTGTTGGACAATTTTACTTGTTTTTCCATGACATGAGCTGTATTTCTAAAGCCTTGATTCTATCTAAGATTGGATGGATTTCAAGGTGCACAAATGATATGGTATATGAGTAGCGCACTCGATTCAACAATAATTATTTTGCAACAATAATTATTTTGCATTGCAAAGCGAGGGTAAGGCTTGCCACTAACACCCTTCCCCAGACCCCGCACAGAGCGGGAGCTCTCTGCACTGGGTACGCCCTTTATAAAACTGAAGATCAATTTTTTGTTTACTAGATATCACTGATGGCCAGATTTGTCATGTAGATACCAAATAGCCCCCTTAACTGACCTTCACCTGGCAAAAGGAACTTTAAGTGTATTATGAGGAGCTGTTTTAGTCATTGTATACAGTGACCGTACCTAGTGTTGCAAAACATTTGCTGACTTGCATGAGGAGCTATATTGATGCACAAAAAAAGTTTCTCATCCAAAGAAAGTTGGGGTAGCTTAGGTTGCTCTTCTATTTCCTCAAAATTTGTTTGCTTGTGTACACTTAATGTTGAAGTGCCTGAACAGTCTCTCTAGGAATGAGCGGTATTTGAAACTCTCAAACTCCACCTGAAAGTATCTATGTCCTTGTGGTCTTGGCACTTCATCCTTGGTCACCTATGGTCTGGTGCTGGATACATTAAGGGCTAAAATATTGACAAATTGCTGGAACTTTAGATCTTAGAATGTTTTTTATGCCATAGAGGAAAGATTATCATAAATGCATCGGTAACCATTCTAGAAATGTTTTCTTTTTTTTATAAAGAGAATGTTTTCATTGAATGTTGGGAGGAAAATGTCTTTCATGTCGCAACGATGTGTCCTTTTCTTCCCCCTTATTTATCAGACAATGTGATTAGACAAATTTATCCAGATTTGTCCTTTTCTTCTCCCGTATTTATCAGTTAATTGCCTTTCTTTGGCACTTCCTTGGATTGGAGCTGTCATTCTAACCCTTTCTGTCCTTGTTTCTTGAAGGTGCTCAAGGAGAGGATTGAGCGCGTCAAAGCCAAGAAGAATGATGCTTTTACATCCAGGAGTGAATTTACTGAAGAAATGTTAGAGATACGCAAGGATTTTGTGATCATACATGGTGAAATGATTCTTCTGCAAACCTACAGCTCCCTAAATTTTGCTGGTTAGTACGTCATACCAAGTTGTCCAATCTGCAGTATTCTAGTAGTAATGCCTGGCTTCTAACGTGTCCTATGTGCTGTACATGCAGGACTAGTGAAGATACTGAAGAAGTATGACAAGAGAACAGGCGGTGTGCTTAGCCTGCCTTTCACTCAACGTGTCCGTCACCAGCCATTTTTCACCACTGAACCTTTAACAAGGCTTGTTCGAGAATGCGAGGCTAATCTTGAACTTCTTTTCCCGGTCGAAGCTGAAGTTCTTGAGCCTAGTTCATCCTCGAATCTGGAACCGCATGATGTGGCTAGGTGTGACCCAACATCATCCCGCGATGTGGAAACCGTCGATGTTTACCGAAGCACACTTGCAGCTATGAAAGCAATACAGGGCCTTCGGAAAGCCAGCTCTACTTACAACCCCCTGTCTCTGTCTAGGTTCTTCCATGGCGAGGACGGCGAAGCCTGCTCTGGTGCCATCACTTCTGAGAGTTCACTGTCAGATTCCTCAACAGACTCCCAGATTCAGGATGCTGGAAAGGATGATAAAGAGGTGCAATCAAATTCGAAGGAGCAGAATGCTGCCCAAGGGGGACAGAATTGCACAAGGCGAGCCCCGACTGATGAATAAACAGTTTTTTCACACGCTGTTCAATAAGACAATAACCATTGATAAGTGTAAATGCTAATAATCTTGATGTTCAACCCTCTTTTGAAGTGACACATAAGCAAGGATTTCCTGATGGTGCAGTTTCATTTTCTTTTCTTTTTTCTTATTGGGTCAGTAATGGAATGTTGGTCATGTTCCTATTGTGTTGACAGCATGCCAATTGCCAGAAGTATCTAAGGTGTAGTGCTATTTGAGTTTTAAAGCTGTACGCAGGAAGCACGTAGAAGACCTTACAAGACATTTTGGTTGACACTTGATAAGAGCTACGTCGCTACGTCGTAATCAGCATGTTGGGTCTACTATGTTTTTGTTGTGTTGACACTATACAGGTACTTCATAAGCGCCATGTGAGTTTTGAAGCTGTAAGCAGAAGGCATGTAAAAGCCATTAGCACAGACGTTTCGGTTGGTCAGCACAAAGAATCGTCAATTATCTCGATTGGTTGTTTATTCGTGCACAGAATAACCCACATTAGGGCCTTGTTCAGCAAAGCTTCAGGAATTCGTGACTACTTCAGAGTTTGGTATTTGTAGCTTCAACATGGATCTCAGAGCAAGAATTGTGCCAAACACATAAGTGTATTTATATGACTCATTTTGTTTATAGTTTGAATCAAACACAAATATTTAAACCACTTTAATTTAGTCTATAAAATGTAGATCCAACATGGATCTCTAAGCTAGTGCCAGACAGGCCCTGGGTAGGAGAGTAAAATCAGAAAATACACCATCAGAAACGCAGAATATTATATTAGTATATACTCCCCTTGACACTTAAGGTTCACCTTGAGCTCACAACATTTTACACAGTTAGTAAAGAGCAGGGTGAGTGAGGCCGTGTGGCAGCAGCTGCTGACAATGAATAAACCCCCTTCAATGGGGAAAAATCAGAACAAGTAATACACACATTTTTACATAGGTGTTTACAATGAATAAAGCCGGCTGATAAGCCAGCTGCAGCTGTTTTTGTTGTGAGAGAAAAATACTGTACATTCTAGCTGATAAGCCGGCTGATAAGTTCAAGCGAACAGGCCCATATGGCAACTCTTCAACAAAAATCACGATTGTCCCCAATCACAACCCCTACTAATATCCCATCGCATCAAGCTTGATCATTGTTTTCTTACATAGGTGATTGCAGGAACCTTGGCTGGGTAGCTAGACAAATCCACATCAAGCAATTCTGTGAGATCGTAAAGCCCTCCAGGAGGATCGACTTTGTCCTTGATTGGGGTTGTCATTGTCTCTTCCTGCTCTGCCTGGTTGGATGATACACTTGATGTCACTGGACTGTTTGAAGCCACCACAGTGATGCCAGCCAACTCTACACCCTGCCCACTTGGGGCGGTGCTCCCTGAGGGATACTTTGTTTGTGCATTGTCTCCCTCATTGTGATTGTAGAGCACATATTCATTGTATGTAGGAGCAAACTGCATGAGAATGAGGTTTGATCAGACAAAATAGATGCTACAATGTATTGGGGTAGTAAAGTGTGACAGATCCTGGTTACCTGGTGAACGGTGTCATGGTAGAAATCATTGAATTTCAAAGCATGAAGAAGGCTTTCTCTGAAACCACCTGAAGGGCGGGCATTGGGACCTGCATATTCCTTGTAGGGGAAAGCAAATAAGTGCCCAATGGCTGCTATTAGCATCTCAACACACAATACAAAGTTCTGGAGATCAGCAGCCTTATCAGCATTCTTGATAAATCGAGATTTTGCAGCAAGGAAAACCAGGACACCCTGCAATAAAAAGGTTCAATTTATGGCTTGGATATCACATAAAAATTTATTGCAAACAGAAATACGTTTCTAGATTTAGCTTAGTAAATAGGTGGGCCAATGTTACATACTGGGAAGTGTGAAGAGGGAAAATACTTGATAAGTATTTACCTGCCAATATGTGAGAAACACCACCGATTTGATCATGATGAATTTTGGGACAGGATTATATGGCCGAAGTAGATCTCTGCACGCCGCATAGAACAATGCAAGGGCATATAAAGCCATCGAGTATGAGATTGTATATATGATAGTTATGTAGAGATAGGATTGGTTGACACTGAAGTTTCCATCTTTGTATTTTCCTTTCGCGTAAAGTATGAAGGTGATAACAACCAAAATAGGCTTGAGAATCACAAACTGCAAGCAACCTTGTTTACATCTTCGTATAAAACGCCTGTCCAAGGCCGAAGTTTTTTTTGTCAGACAGCACTTTCGTAATAATCACAAAATATATTTGACAAAAACTAATCACTTACTATTGAGCAATGGCACAGAAAATTTTAAAAAGCTGTAGTAGTTACTTAGTAATGCACCAAGGACACTTACGCACCCATCTAGAGGAATAGCTGGATAACAGCAAGTCATCAGAATCCATGATGGTTTCAGGCTTCGGCCACTCAAACTTACCACCACAGCACCAGGACCTCCCACCCATGCCAAGCAGAGTGAGAGAAAATTGTAGATGACCCAAGCATCATAGCTGAAATAACATGGATGTGTTTTTTCAGAAAATGGTGATTTTAATTGTAGTGCTTCTGTAACTGCACCGAGAAAACTAACAGCACACAAGCAAACTCACACAAATATAAAGATAAATAACGCCTAAGAACTGCACTATACTATTTAGGTAGACATGTTTAAGAGCTTAAATAGCACAAAAAAGAGAGAGTGAGAGAGAAAGAAAAGAGAAATAAGACTCTAGTCCACATTATGACATGTGAAGACGGACTTGCATGATATATTAGATTAGAAAAATTGTTGAAATTACTACCAAATTATGACCTGTGAAGATCATTTTTGCAATTTTACACAAAGGAGGTCATCTGTTAAATTTTCTCCACCTTGTTTCCATTTTTTATCATAGGAAGGCTCTCAAGAGTAGAAAGAACCATGAGCACTAGTTTATGAATTGATGATGCGCCCATGGGATCAGACCAATGTTCATAAAATTGGACACATGTGCACTAGTTCACAAAGGATACTGGATACTCCATTCAAAGATTATCAGCACAGTTGCTGACATATTTATAGTATATAAACCCATGAGCAGTTCACACATACTGATATGTTGAAAGCGCATATGAATTGGATTGCACAAAGTTTCTACCAGTTCTTATTTTTACTGTTGACTACAAATAGATGGAATCATGTCATTGAGCATTACATTACATGTCACAATAGTGAGCAAAAGTAGAAGCCATAATGCCACATTGAATAAAAACTTCATATGAAGTGAACATAGAGGTTCGGCTTACAAGTAGAACTTACATCTCTCGAATAGAATTAAAATATATCGCGTTGTCAGGGAGGATAAGGGAAAGAAATGACATCACAGCATATACCTGCAGAATAGCAGACGCCTTTGGGGTTAATATAATGAAATATGCAATACACATAGAGTGCTTGTAGACAAAAGCGAAGGGACACAAGGGTGACAAATGTGAATGAATAATGGATCAAGTGTTTGCATTTTCCAAACTAGAAGTGTTGGCATTAGGGTTGCAGACGTTCTACAGAACAAATTCACTTGTGGACCAAATCACTAGAGTGAATGTGAACACATCAATACATATACTATGATCCAAAGATAATGGTCAAATCCAGAAATAATTTGCCATGGGAACTCATACATTCCTACCAGAACTAAACGTATATACTTAATGAACCCACATACTCAGGACGAAACCACAAGTTCCAGAAATCTACACTGATCAGATGCACCCTACTCAGAACCTCAATGAATTCAATTGCACGCATCAAAGTAAGCCACAGTTATATTGCATAAAGCTCCACACATGTCAAGCATTCGCATTCTGATCAGAATCACATGCTCCAGCAAATTTACCAGCAATGTTTTCAAGTTGTCCGATTAATCGCGATATCGTCCTAATCGGTCCCTGCTGACTGATTAGGGGTACCGTCGACTTGTACAAGTCGTCCGATTAATCGCGATTAATCGTCCTAATCGGTCCCATGGCGACTAGGTTCGACTGGACGACTTGAAAACATTGTTTACCAGCGAGTACTTCAATTCCATCACAACATAACTTTCACGGGAAAGTCTCCAGAAAAAGACACCTCACATAGCGACCGAAACCTAAGAGCGTCGACAGCAGCAATCACGCGGGCAGGCAAGCAACAAGCTCTCGCAAACTCACCCAATCCGGGCCCTATTCCAGCTAAAAACCGCGAGGCGTACACGAGTTCTCCGAGAACGGATAATCTCCCGCGAAGGCGGCGCCAGATCTGCCGCCGCGAGGGTTAGGAGCGGCGAGCGGAGAGGATTACCGGGACCATGAATATAATGCGGACGATGAACCGCTGGTAGATTGGCTCGGCGTAGTGGAGGAGGTGGCGGTAGATGTGCGCGAGCGCGACCACGCACGCCGCCGTAGCGCACACCAGCGCCGCGGCCGTGTACGCCGCCGACGCCCACTCCATCGGACCCGCCCACCACCAGCCCTCCCCTCCCGGGTCCCACCGCGGCGGCGCGCGCGCAGCAGCAGCAGCTAGGCGAGGCCGATCGGAGGAGGAGGAGGAGGGAGGCGAAGGGGAGGAGGGGAGCCAGGCAGGCAGGCAGGCGCTCGTCGTGGCCGCGCCGCTTGCTCTGTCCCTGGTTTGCCTTGGTGCGGGTGGTTGGGTTGGGGAAGAGGAAAGGCAGCGGGCGGAGAGGGGTTAACAGTAGTCAGCGTTAATAGCATCGGTTTTCGCGTCCGGTTTTTGGCTTAATTTTTTTCATTTCGGTAAATTATCAAAGGGTTTGATTTGATTTGACTTGTCTGGAGATTGAAAAGTGGACCGGTGTTCGAGAAGCGTAGGGGTGGGAGCTAACGAAGCTTCAGAATTGTTTCTGTTCTCTCCTCTTGAAGCGTGGAATCGAATCAAACCGTGCGCGGCAGTGGACTTGACGCGAGAATTTCGCGGGGATTTCGTGCCAGACGAAGCAATCTAGCTGTAATTCCTGTGAATTTCTGCATAATTTGCTGTCTCTGTCCTATGTAGGGCAGGTGGGGAATGCCCGGATGGTATGGCAACTCGAAATCTCGAATTCACGTAATCGGATGTGCACCTGTCACCTGCGGCAGGATGATGGATGCTTCAGCCGACAGGCGGGTCGTGTCAACATCTTATCATTGTTCCTTGATGCCGTTATGTATAATATTTATTGTTCTGTGACATTTGTTTGACTGATAAATTATGGTTGAAAATATTATTGACTGATTTATTGTGAGAAAAAAATACTATTTATTGGCTAAAAACATACGGCTTATAAAAGTGAATAGGACGTACATCTCCAAATAAATTTATTAAAAAACTAGATTTAAAGACCTTTTCAATAATACTAATTATATACTATAAATATTAATATTTTTTAATATATATTTAGTCAAAACTATTTTTCGACAAACGAAAACGATAGATATTTAAGAACAGTACGTTTACGTCAACACGCAGGCTTTGTTCGTGTCTAGTTATCTAATTTTATTAATATAGACGATATGCTAACTGTGAGATGCGTGTGACATCTTTATCGATATCAAAATCTATCGAGTTAATCTCCGAAATTTGGCCTGATTTGATGTACGCGAGTGTTCAACCTCACAGGGCTCTTGCCAACATTTAAAAAAAAGTATGAATGTCACAACGGTAGTGCTATGAACCGGTGTTAGTGCTTAAGCAGGCCTAAGCTATAGTGACGCATGGACGTTCCATTAGTTTGCAAATAGAAAACTGTGACGTAACGCGATGAGCCAGTGACAACCCAACAACCCACGCTTCTTCATTTTCTTAAAAAAATTGCTCATCCACTTATTTCTATCCATTTGTTCCTCTTTCTATTGCTTTTACTACGCTAAAAGTAAGATAATTTTTGGTGCGACTTTTTTTTGGGTCGCTCTTCCTTCCGTCCGTGCGATACGCGGCTCCCCGCCGCCAAGTGGCCCCCGCTCTCGCTTAGCCCTCCAGGCGTCGTCGCCGGCCCACGGGCGCCGGCTCGTCCCCCTGCCCTTGGTTCCCTAGGCACGCCTCCCTTGATTGGCGCCTCAAGTCGTAGTGGGCGCTGTCGCCCGCCTGCCTCCCCTAGTCCGTCGCCCGCATCCCTCCCCCAGATCGCGTCCGGCCCAGCGCGGATGGAGGAGCAAGCTTGCCGCCTAGATCCTCTCCATGGTAGTTGAGATCCATGGTCTGACGGCCTCCATGATGGAATGGAGGCCGCTTTCGCGGCCAATGCCTCCTTTTCCGACAATGACGTGCCATGGCCTCAAATCCATGGGTTTCAGCGGTGAGGTCCCCTCCATCTCCTCAAGGTCCAAGGGCTGGAGCTACATTGGTTCATTTGCCCTTTGGAGATGAACACACACACCTAGGTGAGCCTCCATTTTGTTAAGCAGCAAGGAGATGCAAGAGTATGTTTAAATTGTTTTAGATGTTTCAGAGGTATGTTGTACAGTGTTCATGTATCTGCATATGGATTGTAAAAAAGAGATCGTGATATTACAAAAATAGATCGTGATATTGCACATGTTGCAATATTTATTGACGTTTGTGGAGGTGGCTAATGAAACTGTGCAGCTTATATTGCAAAGCATCCGCTCCAGTTAGTGTGGTTTCAAATGTTTCATCTACTTTTTTCACACGTATGTTGCATAGAGTGCTAAATTATTTTGATATTGCATATGTTTCATCACATATGTTACAAGATACAAGTATGTTCAAGGAAATGTTTGTGAGGTTTGTTTTAGTCTTGTGTTGTAATAAGTGGCTTTTTTCATGTTGCTTTCCTTAAGGAAGTTGCAAAGTGTGGTTTTAATTCTGGATGTTGCATATGTTTCACAACACACATGTTGCAAGTGTATGTACAATGTTTCATCTGCTCTTACAAACGTGATTTAGTGTGCATTGTAAGTGTTTCATGTTGTAAGTATTTTATGTTTTAGAGGTATGTTCATAGAGTCATGAGAAAAAAGGCTCGCAACCTTGTTACGAACATTGGAGCTACAATTGTTTTATCATATATAGTAATGTTATGGTGCGATAGCATTGGGGTGGCAAATTGTACTTTGTGCACATACTTGTGTCAAGTAAAAATTGGCAGCATCGCTTGCAACTTTTAAGTGCACATCATTTATGTGATGTTAGGCGGTTAGCCCTAGGTATTTAGACAATGGAGGGCATGCTAAGTCCTCATCTCGGTTTCTCTTGCTCATATTATTAATGTTTCAAAGACTTGCGTGGAGAGCTATTGAGGAGAGGGTCGGGGAGGCGAGGAGATGCTACAAAAGGGTGCCAATGGCGGGGCGCGTCAAGCGTGTGTGAGACGGATGGTAATTCATGTTTTAGGATATACGCATGGACATTTATTGTAGTGACGGAGGCACACACGGGAAGAAAAGAACAAAAATAAACGATACGGTGGGACGGCGCGCGCCAGCAATCCCCCCGGATGCAAAAGTAGCCTTCGTTAGCTTCGAATGATTAAGCTATAGTGACACTCTGTCTGTGTAGGCCATGCTTTTTAGTTTGCAAATAGAAAACTGCGACAGGTAACGCGATGAGGCAGTGACAGAATGTGTTCGTTGCATGCCAGCTTGTTGACAACACCAGCTGCTGATTCTCTCTTATCACGATGCTTGCAACACTACCTTACATTAGGCAGGGAAAGGTAAAGCAATCTGCCCAGACTGCGGACCGCAGACTACGGGTGGGAGTCTGGAGATTACGGGAGGGGTTATACATGGCTGTGTTCTGCATGATTAAAGGGTGCATGCTTATAGGTTATACTTATACAGATAATGGAAACTGACGGTACAAAAATTTGTTACAAGCTTATCCTTTTTGTCCTCCTTTTTTTTTTATATATTTTGATATAATTACTTTTTATTACAAGCTTATAACAAAATTCTTGGAGGACAAAAGGATACTCGAATACAAGCCTGAAAAAATTTGTAACAATTTTTTTTAAATGAGACCTCTACTTTTTTTTTTATAGGAAACGAGACCTCTACTTGATTGAATACACATGCCTGATTGCATTTGAGAGCCATGGGGATGTATGCAAACCGCCACATGTGCCCACCACTTTTTTAAAAAAGTCAAAGCACTACGATACATATATAGGAAGCATTAAATGTAGCACAGGTTATAAAAAAACTAATTATATAGTTTGGTAGAAAATTATGAGACAAACATTTTAAATCTAATTAGTCCATGATTAAACACTAATTATCAAATAAAAACGAAAATACTACGGTAAACAAATTCAACATTCCCCTCAACTAAAGAAGGGCCGGGTCAACTATAGAAGGGCTGGGTCTTGGCCGACCCTCTCCCTCCCCTTCTCCGGCGGTCCGCCGCATCCGCATGCATCTCCATCTCCATCTCCATCAGATCAAAATTAAGGCAAAACCGAGATTTAAATTTTTTTAAAAAAGCAAACCCCTAAACCCTCCACGTACCCTCCTGACGCCGCGATGGGAGGCCGACGAGACGATCCTCCTCCGCCGGGAGAGCGCGAGGAGGACGATTCCTCCCCTCGCCGCGCCCCCAAAGGTACACCTCTCTGCTCTCTCCCCCCCTGCCGCTCCTCGGCTTCGATCCCTTGGTTTCCCCCCTGCCTCTGATTAGTTTTTTTTTCGATTCGGTAACTTGTCGTTGCCGGCTTGCCGCTGCAGCTCACATGGCCAACCTCGGCGACGGCGGCGCCAAGGCGCACGCGCGTTTCAAGCAGTACGAGTACCGCGCCAACGCCAGCCTCGTCCTCACTACCGACTCCCGCCCCCGCGACACCCACAAGCCCAGCGGCGAGCCCGAGACGCAGTGGAACAGGGTCGACTGTTAGCAACTGGTAGCTGGATTGAAGGGAGAGAAGAGAATTAGAGAGATAGCAGAGGAAGGATAGGGTTCTAGAAGAAGAACAGTAGAGCGAAGGGAAATATCAGGAGGAGAAAGATAACCTGTTTGGTATATTCTGAATATTTGATATCTTTTCCCCTCTGGCTGCTGTTGCTTTTGTAGTGCTTCATAGTGTCTTCCTTGGGCCGGTTGCGAGGCACATGCTGGCCGGCCCATAAACCCATGGCCATATCCTGACATTCCCCTCCCCTTGAGATTCGGCTTGCCCCCAAGCCGATGGAGAAGTATGGAACCATCGGGATCCCAAATGATTCTTGACTTATCAAGGCCAAATGGTAATATGATAGCTCTAGTGTTTCCCTCTGCTGCCATACTGATCAATATTGTAGTAGCAATAAGCTCATGAGACAAGGAATATGTCAAGCTGAAGCCATTAGCACTATACTGCGATTCCTTGCTGGTAGTCAAGAAGCCCATATCAAGCATCATCAATACCCAGCTGAATTCCAAAGTCACAGACTGTGCAACCAGTAATGCTCCCAACAACACTGAGCATGCTATCATGTGAGCTGAACTGCATGCCCAAACACCTGGTGACCAAGGACCTGGCAAAGGTGCATGCAGGTGTAAATTTCTCTGAGCTTTTGCACTGTCAAGTTGCCTTAGTAATGCACAGGATCACACCTGGAGCCATCATCTGTAACCGAAAGAGGAGCTGCACCTGAAGTGTAAGTTCCAGAAGTATTTGTCCCCAACATAAAACTCCAGACAAGAGAGCTATCCGCAATTTGTATGCACCCAAAGGACATCTGAGGTGGAACAACTAACGCTGATGTGTTCAAGAGCACCAGAACTGCATAGCTACAGAAAAATGGCCGGAGATCTCAAACAGCACATGCAGTGACCATGGTGGCACGAACTGCAGGGATAACCAACCCACAGAAAATATGGACCATAAACTGCAGCAAAGCTTAATGGTGTCTCCAAGCAAAGTATTGCAGTCCTGCCTAGGAGGTGGCCAAGGCTGCAACTCAATGGAGCCATTCATGGACAGTCCAGCCTTGCATAAACAAGAAACTGCCAAAAGCTTGTCTAGCACAGGAACTGTGGTCAGGATGCAGTCCAAGAAGGCCTTCATACCGAAGTCCTTCGGTGACCGCGCCGTCCAGAACAAGCCGCCGCCTGAGCTCGAGGAGAAGCTCTCCAGGTCGCGCACCAGGAAAGCCAAGCGCGACGCGGCCGACACCGGCCTCCTCTACCGCAACGCCAAGCGCAGGAGACGCGTCGCCTCCGACCGGGGTATCAGCGTCCTCTCCCTGACCGATGATGCCGTCTACAAGCCTCAGACCAAGGAGACGAGCGCCGTCTACGAGGCCTTGCTCAGCCTCATCCAGCAGCAGCTCGGCGGCCACCCGTTCGACGTGCTCGTGGGGGCCGCAGATGAGGTGCTCGCCACCCTCAAGAGTGACAAGGTTAGATAGATAAGCCTACTATCTTACTTTTCTTGCAATTTTTATTTTCCTTAGCTTTCAAGCCTAATGTTAGAAATATGATCAGCATCCACTTGGTTGGAACTGTAGCAAGTGGGAGTCCCATTTGCCTATAAAGGGTAAGGGAGTGTTATTGTAAAAATAGGCAATTGCATTTTTCATTCAATCCAAGCGGTCGAGGGCCAAGCTGCCCTCTGATAGTTCAAGATCTGAATCTGAGATCCAATTGGGCCAACAATCGGGTATCAAAGCAGAGGCAGCGGCTATGGCGGCGGCCGAGACGGCTAGGCAGGCGGCGGCTGCGGCCGCAGCACTGCGCGCCGAGATGGAGCGGGAGCCGGAGCCAGCTGGAAGATCGCGTAGCCCGATCGGGCACCGCCACCAGTTGCCGTCACCAGAGCGGCGGCGTGGTCGGCGCGGCCGCTCCCCGATGCTGCAGACGGTCTACCGCGACTCCGGAGCGGGAACGCCCTGGCTGATGCTCACCAAGTCGAACTACCATGAGCGGAGCCTGCTGATGAAGGTCAAGCTGCAGGCCCGGCGGCTGTGGGAGGCGGTTCACGTCGGCGGCGGCGACTACGACGATGATCGGCGGGCGTTGGAGGCGTTGTGCGCCGCCGTCCCCACCGAGCTTGGCGCCTCCCTCGCCAACAAAGCTACGGCAAAGCTGGCATGAGAATCGATCGCCGCGGCACGCATTGGCGGAGATCGTGTGCGTCGGGCGACGTTGCAGCGCCTCCGAGGGGAGTGGGAAGGCCTCGCCTTTTAGCCTGGTGAGCAAGTCGAGGACTTTGCCCTTCATCTTACGAATCTGATGGAGCAGATGGCGCGCAACGATGACACCGACCTCACGAAGGAGCGCACGGTTGAGAAATTCCTCCGTTGCATGCCGAGGAAGTACGCGCAGATCGTCATGTCGATCTTGACGCTCCTCGACTTCGAGCAGCTCACCGTCGAGGACGTGACCGGGAGGCTCTAGGCGGTGCAGGACCACGAGGGGCCTCACACAGAGCCGAGCACTGCCGGAGGCAAGCTGCTGTACACGATGGAGCAGTGGCGCACCTTCGACAAGAAGGAGGAAGGATCCGGTTCGTCTGGCTCTAAGGAGCGTCGCCGGCGTCCACGCGGTGGCAAGGAGGAGAAGGGACCTCGGGGCCAGGTCGGCGCTGATGACGGTGTCGCCGGCGAGCGCAAGGCGACCCGGGATGACACCTGCAACAACTGTGGCAGGACTGGCCACTGGGCCAAGGACTGCCGCCTTCCTCCACGCCAAGGTGGGCAGGCTCACATCGCGCAAGCAGAAGAGCAGGATGCCCCCCTGTTCCTGGCGCATGGGTGCGTCGAGCTGCAGCAAGACACAGGGGAGGGGGTGAAAGGTCCAAGCTTTCCCCTTTCTGGGTCGGCTGGCTCCGCCGAGCTCCACCTCGATGAACCATGCCCCCATGCCTTCCTCGCCAATGGTGCCGCCGATGACAAGATTGATGGCTGGTACCTCGACACCGGTGCGACACACCACATGACTGGTCGGCGTGAGTTCTTCTCCGACCTGGACTTCGGCATGAAGGGCTCCGTCAAGTTCGGTGACACCTCTGCCGTCGAGATCAAGGGCGTCTGCTCAGTCATCTTCAAGGCCAAGATGGGGAAGCACCGTCTTCTCACCAGGGTGTACTACATCCCGGCCTTGAAGAACTCCATCATCAGCGTCGGGCAGCTGGACGAGAATGGCTCGCGGGTGGAGATTGAGGATGGCGTGCTGCGCATTTGGGATAGAGGCCGCCGTCTTCTCGCCAAGGTGAACCGGGGAAGCAACCGCCTTTATGTGCTTTATGTACAGGTGGTGCACCCCCTCTGTCTTGCCGCGCGCCGGGATGATGAGGCGTGGCGCTGGCATGAGCGTTTCGGGCACCTTCACTTCGAAGCCCTGAAGCAGCTCGGCAAGAAGATGGTTCGCGGCATGCCCTGCGTCGACCACGTCAATCAACTCTGCGACACTTGTGTGGTGACCAAGCTGAAGCGCCGGCCCTTCCCGCGTCAAGCCTCCTACCGCACCACCGAGCAACTCAAGCTGGTGCATGGCGACCTCTGCGGTCCAGTGTCACCGGCAACTCCTGGAGGTCGACGCTACTTCCTACTGCTCGTCGACGACGCCACCTGCTATATGTGGACCGTGCTGCTCGATTCCAAGGCGGCAGCTGCGGATGCTATCAAGCGCCATGAGGCAGCCGCGGAGAAGGAGTGCGGCTGCAAGCTCCGGGTGCTCTGCACGGACAACGGCGGTGAATTAACGACAACTGAGTTCGCGGTGTACTGCATCGACTAGGGGATTCAGCGCAATTACTCCGCGCCCTACTCACCGCAGCAGAATGGTGTGGTCGAGCGCCGCAATCAGACGGTGGTGGCAGCGGCGCGCGCGCTCCTCAAACAGCGCGGTATGCCGGCGGTCTACTGGGGAGAGGCCGTGATGACTGCCGTACACCTGCTCAACCCCTCTCCGACCAGTGCGCTCGATGGCAAGACGTTGTATGAGGCCTGGCACGGGCGCAAGCCGGCGGTTAGCTATCTGCGCATCTTCGGCTGCCTCGCCTTCGTTAAGGAGATGAACCACGTCGGCAAGCTCGATGATCGCAGCTCGCCGGCGGTCTTTATCGGCTACGCAGAGGGGGCTAAAGCCTACCCCGTGCTCGACCCGGCGACACGGCGCGTGCGCGTGGCGCGCGACGTTGTGTTCGATGAAGGACGTGGCTGGCATGGGACAAGGCGGTGGATGACGGGTCGGCGACCGTGCTTCGCGACTTCACTGTCGAGTACGCGTGGGCTGGAGGTGCTGAGGAAGCACAAGGTGCATCTTCATCGACGTATGGGTCTTCATCCCCAGCGCCGACCTCTTCACCAACTCCGCCTCGTTCGCCATCACCAAATCCGGGGGAGCTCGGCAGCCCATCGGCGGTGGTCGGCAGTCCATCGGTAGCAACTCCGACCTCTCTAGCACCGCAGCCGACCTCTACATCATCGCAGCCGATCTCTCCAGCATACCAACCGACCTCCTCGGCGTCTTCTACCTCGCCCGCTGCGACACCAGGGCACGCAGGGCAGCCGGAGGTCGAGTACGCCACACCACTGGAGGACGATGAAGACCGCCTGGACGCCTACTACGACAATGAGCCTATGCGATACAGCACCGTGGCAAGCATCCTCGGTGACCAGTCTTCACCGGACCAGTTCGAGAGGCTTTTCGCCCAGCTTCATCTGACGCACGCCGGTGAGCCGACCACTTACGCTGAGGCGTAGGGTGATCCGGCGTGGCGGGCGGCAATAGAGCAGGAGCTCAAGTCCGTCGAGCAGAACCGGACCTGGGAGCTGGTGCCACTGCCTGACGGCCACCGCCTTATCACCCTGAAGTGGGTGTTCAAGCTCAAGAAGGACGAGCTCGGCGCGGTGATCAAGCACAAGGCGCGGCTCGTGGAAAGCGGCTTCAGCAGGAGGGGTTGACTACGACGACGCCTTCGCCCCCGTGGCGCGCATGGAGTCAGTTCGTGTCCTCGCGCTGGCGGTTCAAGAGGGGTGGCAAGTCCACCACATGGATGTGAAGTCCGCCTTCCTCAACGGCGACCTCAAGGAGGAGGTCTACGTGCGCCAGCCACCTGGCTACGCCGTCGCCGGAGAAGAGGGGAAGGTGTACCGCCTGCGCAAGGCACTCTATGGCCTGCGTCAGGCACCGCACGCCTGGAACGCAAAGCTCGACGCCACACTCAAGAAGATGGGCTTCAAACAGAGCGCGCATGAGGCGGTGGTGTACCGGTAGGGCAGCGGACGCAATGTTCTACTGGTCGGCGTCTACGTCAACGACCTCATCATCACCGGCGCTGAAGAGCAGAAGGTGGAGGTGTTCAAGGCACAGATGAAGAAGGCGTTCGACATGAGCGACCTCGGCCTCCTCTGCTTCTACCTCGGCGTCGAAGTACGCCATGATGCCACCGGGATCACCCTCCGCCAAACCCACTACGCCAAGCGCATCCTCGAGCTCGGCGGCATGACAGGCTACAATCCGGCCCACACCCCGATCGAGGAGAAGCTCAAGCTGAGTCGGGAGAGCACGGCGGAGTAAATCGATCCAACCCATTACCGGCGGCTGATCGGGAGCTTACGCTACCTGGTCCATATCCGGCCGGACATCACGTTCGCCGTCGGGTACATGAGCCGGTTCATGGAGCGGCCGACGATGGAGCATCTGTAGGCCGTCGAGCGAATCCTACGCTACATGGCGAGCACCCTCGACTATGGTCTTCACTACGGAAGGGCCCCTGACACGACGCGGTTCGTCGGCTACTGTGACAGCGACCTCGCCGGCGATGTGGATACCAGCAAGAGCACAACCGGGACGATGTTCTTCCTCGGTGATTGCTTGGTCAGCTGGCAGTCCCTCAAGCAGAAGGTGGTGGCCCTCTCAAGCTGTGAAGCGGAGTACATCGCCACCACCACTGCCGCAACACAGGCGCTGTGGCTGTCAAGGATGCTGGCAGAGCTCCTTGGCAGGAAGGTGGATGTGGTTGAGCTAAAGGTGGACATCAAGTCTGCTCTAGCTCCGGCCAAGAACCATGTCTTCCATGAAAGAAGCAAGTACATCTGCATCAAGTACCACTTCATTAGAGATTGCTTGGAGGACGGAAGCATCAAGGCCAACCACATTGCCACTACTGATCAGCTGGCTAACATTCTCACCAAGTCGCTGGGGAAGTCCAAGTTCCAGGAGATGAGGGAGCGGATTGGGCTATAGCAGATCACCTCTAGTGCTCGGCACAAGGCTTAGGGGGAGATTGATAGATAAGCCTAGTGCTCAAACACTTGTATCTTACTTTTCTTGCACTTTTTACTTTCCTTGGCTTCCAAGCCTAGTGTTAGGAATATGCTCAGCATCCACTTTAGTGGTTGGAATATGCTATAGCAAGTGGGAGTCTCATTTGCCTATAAAGGGAAGGGGTCATTGTAAAAATAGGCCATTGTATTTTTCATTCAATCCAAGCGGCTAAGGACCAAGCTGCCCTCTGATAGTTCCAGATCTGAATCTGAGATACAATCGGGCCAACATTAAAAACCCTGAGCAACTCCTCGGCACCATCTCCAACCAGCTGTTTGACCAGCTTGTCTCCATAGGTAAGCTCATCACGGACTTTCATGATGTGGCGGCCAGCAATGCTGCTGCCGGTGCGCCTTCTGCCGATGCAATGGACACCACCCTGGATGATGATGTCAGTTTTGCTGTCGGGTGGGAAGAAAATGAAGACAATTGCTTCATACTACTATATTAGCTATGCAACTATTGAACGTTTCGGTTCTATGCCGACCCAGAAGACTAAGATGAAGGGACTCCTAGAGATTCTAGCATCTACATCAGAATATGCAGAGCTTGCAGGTCGTGCTGGTGAGGAAGAATTCATTGAGAGGCTTGTTCGGCACCAGAGGTTCTCTATCGAGAAGCCCAAGTATGGCGATCCACATGTGAAGGTCAACGCACTGCTGCAAGCCCATTTTCAAGGCACACAGTGGTCGGGAACCTGGCAGCTGATCAGCGGGAGATTCTCTTTTCTACCCATAAGATGCTCCAGGCAATGGTTGATGTTATCTCCAGCAATGGTTGGCTTAGTCTTGCTCTTAGTGCAATGGAGTTGAGTCAAATGGTGACACAAGGCATGTGGGATCGTGATTCTGTGCTGCTTCAAGTTCCTCACATCACAAAGGACTTGGCTCAGAGGTGTCAGGAAAATGAAGCGAAGCCCATCGAGAGTATCTTTGATCTTGCTGAGATGGGTATCGATGAGATGCGGGATCTCTTGCAGCTATCAAACTCTCAGCTGCAGGACATCATTGAGTTCTTCAAGCGGTTCCCCAATGTTGATATGGTCTATGAGGTCCGTGAGGGTGACGGCACAAGTGCTGGCTACAATGTAGCCGAGCAGGTAACGCTGGAGCGTGACATGGCAAACCTACCATCTGAGGTTGGGCCAGTTCATGCGCCGAGGTTCCCCAAGCCCAAGGAAGAAGGCTGGTGGCTGGTGATTGGTGACAGCTCCACTAACCAGTTGCTGGCAATCAAAAGATTGGCACTTCAGAAGAGGGCAAGAGTGAAACTTGAGTTCTCTGCTCCTGCAGAAGCAGGGACAATGGACTACATGATTTATTTGATGTCAGACTATTACTTGGGCTGTGATCAGGAGTACAAGTTCACTGCTGATGTTAAGGATGTTGGACGGGATTTATGATGAAGACCAGGATGTGCTCCGTGACTCTGGGTCGCATAGAAGTAGTTTAACTTTGAGTGTATGTATATATTCTAACTCATAATTAGTGTTTTGGACATTGTGTGTTTGTAGTGGGGCTTATCTTATTTTAGATGTTAACACACCTTACCCTGTAAAGCTGCAAGGATTACGCTCTACAATACTGCATGATATTTTTGGATCAACTTGTGTCTTCCCATAAGCTTGCTGCTGTGTTCAAACATTTCCTATTGGCAGGACAGGACATCTGCCATCCTCCTAATGAGATGGTGGATATGGGATGGATTCCTTCCAGCATTGGCTTGTTCAGATCTACTACTAAGTATTTTGTTCATAAAAGGACGTACCCAGTGCCGAGAGCTTCTCGCTCTGTGTGGGGTCTGGGGAAGGGTGTCAGTGGCAAGCCTTACCCTCGCATGTGCAATGCGAGGAGACCGCGACTCGAACTCGGGACCTTCCGGTCACAGGCGGTAAGACTCTACCGCTTGCACCGCTTGCACCGCTTGCACCAGGCCCGCCTTTCACCAAGTATTTTGTTCATACTATGATAATATGATGTGTACTGCTTTATTCTTAAATTATAAAATGAAGTGCTGTGGGGATCTCCCCCACAGTTTTTGCCTTCAAAAAAATATGATGTGATACCCCTTGAATATTTTTGCTGTGATAATCAATGCATTGTCCAACTAAGAACAATCTAAATAATGTCTTGCTGCTTGTCAGGGTTGGTTATTGTTCTTGTAACAGGCTTTGCTTTGCGGGAGAATGTATTGATTGGCAAGGGACCATCCCTCCCAAATGTATTTTAGTTTTTTACTGCAGCAACAACATTTAAGGTTAGTTGCGTATGGTTAAGTTTTTTCTCATGTCAAATACTAATATGTTGGTTGGTTGGTATCCCCTAGGTAAGTGAAGAAGGGCCACCCTTGCGTGCTGGAGGTTAATCGCACTGTCGGCCCAGCCGTGTGTTAGCTGCATCTGCATCCCGTTTCATCCTTTACCTGTCCAAATCTAAATCTATACCATCCAAATCTATACCTGTCCCTTATATGCCATTGGAAATTATAGCTTCTTCATTGCCATTGATTTTAATTTTCTTTCCCTTATATGCCATTGCCGTCACATAGCAGTTATTGGCTATTAGTTGTTTTTCAGGATTACAATTTTGTCCCTAATCATTCCATACTGACGAATTAATTGAAGCTCTACTGGATAGGGCGATGGCGTGCTGACCTGAAATTCTAGAACAGAATTGCATGGTAGGCATCCTGAAAACATCTACTACGAGACATGAAGAAACTATGAACAGAATGTGCTGTGTGACTATGGGTGCATAGATAGAAGTAGTTTAGATTTGAGAGTGTATCCTAACTCATAATTAGTGTTTTGGAACAATCTGTGTCTTTGTAACCTCTGAACTTGTGGGGCTGTATGCCTGTATCTTATATTCGATGTTAACTGGTGCAGTGCTTATCCTGAATTCCTGATCTGGTTTCGGATCGTGGTGAAGCTATCAGAATTTGAGTCGTTTTCGCCCCTAAAAGGCCACCATAAGTTATGGTATGGCCTCTCTTCGCTTTGCTAGTCACCCGATCAGGTTCCTGCTGCTCTAGGCTAATGGAGTAATGGTTGATGTGCAAGACAAACATATGACCTGTGTGAGGCTCTGACAAGCCAAACACGTGGATTCGTATGCAGATACTTATTTGATCTCAAGGACAAATCTTATTGCCTTCAATGAATATTGTGAGCTATGTTTAGTCAATTCTTCTGTGCAATCCTAACTTGTATGGATGATTAAAAGATTATATGGTTAATTGAGATTAACTATGGCCTTGTTCGCTTGTCTTATGAGCCGTACTATTTCAGCGAACAAACAGTGTTTTTCTTTCACAATAAATCGACGAACACCGCTTTCAGCTATGACTTTTTAACGAAACAAAGACGCCGGTAAAGTTTCTGGGTTCATGTGAATGCTAGAGTTGGACTGTTACGCCGATAAAGCGATAAAGCTGTAACGCATTGTCTGTCGGTACAAGAATGTCAGTCAGCATTTCTTTATTGACGTTCAACCATCAGTCCGTATAAATATGCTGATCGGTAAAAATATGATATAAATAAATATACTAATCTGTAAAAAAAAAATGATTTTATACGCTGACTGATAGATATTCCTCGTTGTTTCTAGGCTGTGGTAAGTGCAGTACTAGGCTGCAGAAGTATCGAAGTCGTTTGCTCGGTTAGAAACCGTCTATATTTTGTGTATATCCTATATATTCAGTAGTTACATTGTTTTCAGGCGTATTTTTAATACTCGTCTTCATGTTTTTAATTTCTTTGCACTCATATATACTCCTATTTACATCAAAATTTGAGAAGAAGAACGCGGGAACTCAAAGCTTCTAGGATTGTGTCGTCAAGAAATTGATTAGGTGTGAATCGGTATCAGCTGATTTAGATACGATGTCAGAATCGGCTATTTTATGGATGATGGCAGCAGACGGTGTGAATAAGCTATGCTTGACTGGCGCCAGAAAGACGTATCGGACTCTACAAATAAGGAAAATTAGGGTCCAAGTTATTATTAAGTTAGAAAGTTTTCTTTTATTCTAAAAATTGTAATGAGTCGTATATGAGTAGAATTTATATTTAGGTTCGGGGTATAAATATTAGACCCTTATTATTATAAAAAGAAACGAACACACAATCGATACAATGTTTCCGGTTTTCGCCATCGCATTAGGAGTAGGAGTACTGTAGATCTCGACGAGTTCTTCAACAAATAGGGCTACATCAACTGATCGACCTTCAGCTTATTTGCTAGTACCGTCATGACTTGTATTGTGCTTGTAAAACCGCATCAGTTCATTGATCTTTTATGAGCCATAATATAAGTAAGTTATCGATTTGTATCGTAATTTTTAAGGCTGCATCAGCTGATTGATCTCTTACGAATCACAATATAGATCAAAGTTATTGATCTTGTGTTAAATAATTTGTTGTTTAATACAATATCACCAGTTATCGAATCTGCTAAGATTAGTAAGATTTTTCTTGTTGTTTTTGATTAATTCACCAGTTATCGATCTTGTTATAATTAATGTTTTATAAATTATAACAAAATTACCCGATTTAGATAGAGATAGATCGACATTATATCATCTTAATTGGTCGTCCTTTGATCTGGTCACGCTTTAAATCTTATAATCGATGGCTTAATTTCGCTAGATCGGCTGTTTTATCTCTATTTCAATCGAACACAGTATACATCTAAAGACATGTTCTAATCTTGAATAAACTCATTAGTTAATGAGATCTAATCTAATGATGGTACCATAGCTGCATCGATCCGGTCGAACCTCAATGGTAAGACTTTATATTAGAAATTATCGATTAGTGGTCTTGTTCATAATTAAGCTATGTACTCTGTTTGTTTGCTATGACTGTATCGGCTATTTTAGCCGATTTGCCTATACTTTCACGCATATAATATGTTTTCATGAATCTGTCAACATATATATGGTTTTATAGATTCTTTGGCTTTAATTTGTTATCATTATCATAGCTACGTCGATCCGGTCGAACCTCACTGTTGATGATAATAGATTAGATTCAAGCTATTTGTAGATTCATTTATATTAGACAGTCGATTTGTTCGCATGTTATACTCTTTTCACCAAACTTATCGGCTCGACGCTTTATATCGATAATGTTCCATTTAGTCGGTGATGTTTTCTTATATCGCTTCTTTGCTGATCCATGAGCATCGGTTATTTTGATTCATATCATTATCATTTAATATTAGCCGATAATCCTTAATTTAAAGATCTTCATTTCATAGATACGACATCGGCTATCTAGCCGTACATTCGGAACTGTTTGATACGACATCGACATGTTCCACCTTAAATTACTGATAAGATTTTCTCTCCTTATTAATTACAGAGCAATTGACTGACACGTCGTTGGGTTTTCAGAATCGGCTGGTTCTATGTTGAAGCCAAACAGATCTCTTATCTCGTTCCGCTCAGATCGCCTGGCAGGCTATGCGTGGATCATCAGCCTGTTCGGGAGGCCGTATCGTATCGTGGATTATTTACTGCTGGCTGGTTTGGTGTGAGAGAAAAACACTGTTCCCGGCTGTAAATTTACGATCGTTTACGAGCAAGCGAACAGGTTGCATATCACCGCATTTTTTATGTCAACAACTCCTGGGGAAGGTGTGTCGGTGATGTACGTAGTGCTGCGTCACCACATTTGCACTTGCACTCGTATTTGTTCTTAATTTTTTTTATTCAAATAAATAAAAACACACCACACTCCCAAGCCCGGCGACACGCGTTGCAGTTGCAGCGCCGTTGAAATCTGAGAGAGAGGCAGGCAGGCAGGCAGGCAGGCAGCCTACTCGTCCCTGCGCGACAGTCATCCTGTGAACGAGGCTGCTCCTCGTCGCCCCCAATCGGCCAAAACTTCCCCAGCCAAAACCCCTCCCAAACCCTCATCCACCCCGCCTGTATAAAGCCCTGCGCTCCTCCGCGCTCTCAACGCCATCCATTCCATTTCTTATCCCCTCTCCTCCCCCCTCCCCTTCCCTCCCTTCCCTGATGGCGTCCCTCCTCACGCTCCCCGCCCTCGCCCTCTCTAACCCCGCCACCGCCTCCGGCGCCGTCCGGCTACGCGCCGCGGCCCTCCGCTGCTGGGCGCTCCGGCGGCGCGGGTGGGCGGCGGCGGCCGCCGTGGCCTCGCCCAACTCCGTGCTCAGCGAGCACGCCTTCAAGCGGCTCCAGCTCGGGAGCGACGACGAGAACGAGGAGGGGACGTACGGGAGCGACGCCGACGAGGGGTTCGAGGCGGGGGAGGGGTTCCAGGGGGACGAGGAGGAGCTCGCCATTGCCAGGCTCGGCCTGCCCGACGAGCTCGTCGCCACGCTCGAGAAGCGCGAGATTACACACCTGTTCCCCATACAGGTGAATGAACTGTTGCTCTCTGTCTCTCAATTTATGCTCGGTTGCTTCTAACTGCGCGGCTAAGCCGTGCTGCAGTATTGGTTGTCGAGAGGGGACTGGGAGGAGGGTCCAGTGGGTGTTCAATTTGGGGAATTGGGTTACTGCTTTTGAAATTCGTGGCGCGGACCTTGTGTATTGCCCAGCAAATTTTAGGCGCTTGTTTCAGGGAAATATAATGCAGGATAAGAGGAGCGTGGCTTCCTTCGGTGCAATAGGGACATTAGGACCATAGTGTATTCCGAGTGGATTAGTCCTTACTGAAACTAGCCTACTACTAGCAGTCTAGCACGTATCCATACACTCCTCAGTATATCAAGCTAGCGGGCCAATTCATAGATATTCCTCTTGAGCTTATGAATGTAGCCAGATAAATTAGCTGCACTTTCAGTGGCATGCTATGTGCCACATGTTTTTACTGAGCTCAGTAGCTCATGTTCGGGTTTTAATTGTTGTTTTATTTTGCTCACTTGCTGTCTCCTCCAGAGGGCTGTGTTGATTCCCGCTCTTGAGGGCCGTGACCTGATTGCTAGAGCAAAGACTGGAACTGGAAAGACACTAGCCTTTGGTATTCCCATGATCAAGCAATTAATCGAGCAAGACGATGGTCGGAGTACAAGGTAGCCATTCATCTTTCTATGGAGCTTCACTGGAGTCAGTTGATAATTAGCAGTCACATTGACTGTTTCCTTTACCTTTTCGCAGGCGAGGTCGCACTCCTCGGGTTCTGGTTCTAGCACCTACCAGAGAGTTAGCCAAACAAGTCGAGAAGGAAATAAAGGAATCAGGACCGAAGCTCGGCACAGTGTGTGTTTATGGCGGTGTCTCGTATAATGTCCAGCAGAATGCACTCTCGCGTGGTGTCGATGTTGTTGTTGGCACACCTGGGCGCATAATTGATTTGATAAATGGCGGAAGCCTCCAGTTGGGAGAAGTTCAGTATTTAGTCCTGGATGAGGCTGACCAAATGCTTGCAGTGGGGTTTGAGGAAGATGTGGAGACAATATTACAAAAGCTTCCTGCGGACAGGCAAAGCATGCTGTTCTCTGCGACGATGCCTAGTTGGGTGAACAAACTGTCCAGGCGGTACTTGAACAACCCTTTGACAATTGACTTGGTATGGCTTCCAGTCCTCCACTTTCATTTGCTGTTATTTACCCTTTTCTTTTGTTGCACAGTTGAGAGCATTCTATTATATAATGTTGTATGGGATTATTCTTACATGTGATTGCAGATATCATTTTAACTCGATCATAGTTTATGGTCATGTTGCATGCTATTTGATAAATATTCTGGCCTAAAAACTTGGACAAGAAACCCATGTGGTTGTTTCTGTTGCACCATGTGCCAGCTGAAAATATTGAGTTTAATTCTTGTTCATGGTGCATAGCGACAAACCACAATAAATTAGCTATTTCCTTTTTCATGAAACTCTCCGAAGGAGTAAAGGATGACTTTTTCTGTTAATATATATTATTTGTTTATTATTTGTGCAATTCTTACTAGCACTTTGTTAGGACACGAATGTCACAACAACAACTTATTCATGCTCATGCTGGTTGCGGACTCTAGATATTTATCAATACAGTGCCATAGGGGATGCTAAGAGTGTTCTTGAGCTGTTAATTGCACTTTCACTTGAAGGCCCATGTTGATTCCTTGTGAGATAATTGTGGCACCTGTGTCTTGCTATGGTTTAGTTTTCCATATTTTTATGTCCTAATACTGTGCCATAGGGGATGCTAAGAGTGTTCTTGAGCTGTTAATTGCACTTTCACTTGAAGGCCCATGTTGATTCCTTGTGAGATAATTGTGGCACCTGTGTCTGGCTATGGTTTAGTTTTCCATATTTTTATGTCCTAATACGTTATTGTGTCTCTTCATGTGTTAAGGTTGGTGATCAAGATGAAAAGCTTGCTGAAGGAATCAAACTCTATGCTATCCCACTCACAGCAACATCAAAGCGCACCATTCTTAGTGATCTAATTACGGTATGTTAATGTTGGTCATGGAATTTTTAGCTGCTTTTTCCCTCCCCTCTTCTCACCTTTCGGTTTAACTTTTGCTAGCCCCTTGGATAATAGTAAATGGTGCAGGCAGCTAGCACATGCATGTTTTATTTGAATCAACATAACCATAACCATAAACACATAGGTCTATCTTTTACTCTTAGTCTGATTACATTTCCATGAATATCATTTCTAATTTCCTTGAATACTTTGGTAACTGCATTCATTTCAGCTTGGTTTAAGCTGAAAAGTCTTGATGTTGTGTTCTCTGTTTAGCAGTTACAAGTTACATTTAGTCACTCCTTCCTCAGTGGGGGTTCAAACTGTAAATGGTTGATGCTTCTGAAACTGGGTGCTGTGGCTCTTAGTGTTTTCAAAAAGGATTTGTGCGATTTGTTTCCTTATAGTTTCTGATGCTGGCAAATTAGGACTTCGATAATCATGGTGGTGTTGTTCTCATCAACATTAACATTGCGTTGGTGTTTAGTTTCATCATTTTGATTTCGTGATGGTTTGCCTGTCCCTTGGGATACAAAAATGTATATGTCACAGTTGATACAGTTATGTTGCTGTATAATTTTACTTTGTTCTGATTGAGAACACAATTCTATATATGTATCTGCCATGCATATTAAACATTTTAAGGGCTCGGTTTTGCTTAGACTTGGTCACTTTCAAATATCTATCGCATGAGATAAGTTGTTTTGTTTAATCAGTGTCAATGCTAATCCATATATTTTGTTGTTAGGTTTATGCAAAGGGTGGGAAAACCATTGTTTTCACTCGTACGAAGAAAGATGCAGATGAGGTTTCATTGGCACTGACAAACAGTATTGCTTCTGAGGCACTTCATGGTGATATTTCACAGCATCAGCGTGAGCGGACACTAAATGGATTTCGTCAAGGGAAATTTACTGTTCTAGTAGCTACAGATGTTGCTGCCCGTGGTCTTGATATACCAAACGTTGATTTGGTGGGTTCACAATCCTCTTCACTTCACCTGATTCTAGATACTGTAATTCTGTAAAACATCTTTCCAAACACGCGTGTTAACTCAGTATCATGGAGCTGTGATGGTTAGCTTACCAAATTACACATTCTTCTAGAAAAGATAATCAGCGAAAATTCCTAGTTTAAGACTTTATATTATAGCGCCAAACAAGGTATCGTATCTTCAAGCAATGTACTTAGGTTTCTTTTTACCTGGCCATTTAGGAATTTAGCAATTAAGCTTTTCATCTTGCCACTAAACAAATTCAAGTGTTCTTCTGTATTTTAGTTTGGCATGCATTGGGTTTCATACTGGAACATCATCACTTGGGTATGTCTGATAGCATCCCTGTCTGGTATGTCTGATAGCATCCCTGTCTGATGTCTTGGGCTGGTTAATCTTGTGATTTACTTGATACTGTTTTTTCAACTTAACTTGTAAAGTGCATTTTTGCATTATGCTATTTGAAATGAATTGTAGGCATACAATGCCTAATTATTGAGAGGCTTCATTTTTGTATGCAGGTTATCCATTACGAATTGCCAAATGATCCAGAAACTTTTGTCCATCGTTCTGGACGCACTGGACGTGCTGGGAAAGCAGGAACTGCAATCTTGATGTTTACCAGCAGCCAGAAAAGGACAGTTAAGTCTCTTGAGCGTGATGTTGGTTGCAAGTTTGAGTTTATAAGCCCTCCGTCCATGGAAGAAGTGCTGGAGTCATCTGCTGAGCATGTCATTGCTACATTGCGAGGGGTGCACCCAGAGTCGACTCAGTACTTTCTTGGAGCAGCTGAGAAATTAACAGAAGAATTAGGACCTCATGCTCTTGCTTCTGCACTGGCACATCTGAGTGGGTTTTCTCAGCCACCTTCTTCACGTTCTCTGATCAGTCATGAGCAGGTAAGAAGTGACACAAGAAATTACATATGCATTGTTTTCTATTATACCTACCATTGAGGTCAACTACTTTCCACAGCTAAGTAAGCATACCTTACATCTATTTGATCCTGTTGTTCTGGCTTCTGTTTTCTAGATTTGAAAATTATCTGGTTGAAGTTATATGACTACTAATACCAACAACTAGCACTTTTTTTCTATTATGAATTTATAACAGGTCATCAAGCGATCATCTAGAAAAGCTCCATAACTTTTGTTGTGCATTTGTCTTTTCTTGTGGTTTCGTTCTTAAGGAGGACGCTCTCAGATGCTTTCTTTCTCTCTATTAAAATGCAGGGATGGGTCACATTGCAACTAACTAGAGAACAAGGATATGGCAGAGGCTTCTTTTCTCCTAGATCTGTTACTGGTTTTCTATCTGATGTTTATTCAGCTGCTGCAGATGAAGTTGGCAAAATATACCTAACAGCAGATGAGAACGTGAGTTTTTTCCTGACTATATTAAATTGTTCCCCATTACAATTGTAAAGATGGTGTCTTTTACTACTTCCGTAATGTGCATTGGATCTAGTTAGAGCGCAGGGCACTAGAAAGATGGTTTTCTTGTATTAAAACTGTAACTGCCTTGTTCTGCGTGTCTACACCACTCTCTTTTTCACTTTTGTTTGCTCTTGCCCTTTATTTGTGTAAAGCTGGGCATGATTTCCAACCTGATTTCGACTACAACCATGAAATGGAAGTCTTTTATGCTGTGGTGTCAATTAGTGACAAAGCATATTGTGCCACAGTTAGTAGGATACAGCTTGCTGGTTGGGGTTATTTTTTAAATCCTACAGATTTGTTTGGATGTGGCATCTGGAACAATTAATTGTACTGATACTTTGTCTACAATCTGCTAGAAGGAAAATTGTATGCATAATAATGAACCAAGACTTGTGTAGAATATATTTTATGCTATTTCCCTTGTTCTGATGAATTTTTCTTGTTGATCAATGCATTGCTCATCATATCAGGTCCAAGGAGCAGTCTTCGATTTGCCTGAGGAAATCACAAAGGACCTGCTTACTATGGAGCTCCCCCCAGGAAACACCTTAATCAAAATATCGAAGGTATTTTTTGCGGCTCATCTGCTCAAGTTAGTTATGGATAATTTATGTCATGAAATATACGCAGATGTTTATCTTGATGGTTTATCATGCCATACATTACAGCATGTGCTAAAACTGCTGGCTGAGATAAACAGGAATTAGAAGTCTAGTCTCTCACTATTTTGATCAACATTTTTTCTACTTTATTTATCTCCAACCAAGCCTGCTTAAATTGCATTAATTTTATAGTTCCTAATATTTTCCGAATGTGATTTTGGTTTTCTGAAAGTCAGTGATGACTGTTATTCTTTCCTGCTTTCAGCTGCCTGTGTTGCAAGATGATGGTCCTGCCACTGATAGCTATGGTCGCTTTTCCAACGACCGAGGTTCCAGGAACAGGCGTTCCAGGGGTGGAAGCGCTGCAAGAGGCCGGGGTGGTTGGGACACTGACGGTGAGGACCGATTCCGCCGTGGTGGCAGGAGCTTCAGGTCTGACAACGATAGTTGGTCAGATGATGACTGGTCAGGCGGTGGGAGAAAATCAACCCGTTCCTCATCCTTTGGTAGCCGCCCATCATCTTACGGCAGCCGTGGCTCACCATCCTTCGGTGGGCGCTCATCATCCTTCGGTGGTAGGGAGAGGTAAGCTTCGCAAGATTCCCGATACAATGTAGCAAAGTTAGCAATTCTAGGTGTGTGCTACCCAGGTATTGGTTCTTAGGTAGTTCACTTAGAGCGACCTGGTATTTCATTCATCAAGCTTGGGTATCCATTAGGATAGGAGTATATGGAAACATAATGTTCTATAACTAATACTGACAGGTGAAGTAGTCTGTTTAGCCTACTAGATCTTGCTACAGCCCATTCTTGCCTCCCTGAATCATGATAAAAAATTACCTTGAAAGTTATTTTCAGAACAAAAGATAAATCAACTACCACACTGCAAATTAGTACTGCGCATTATGATCTTTCTGTTTCCAAGGCTACATGGCTAATAGCCCCCCCTTATTTGCAGCAACAGAAGCTTCAGCGGTGCTTGTTTCAACTGCGGTGAATCCGGTCACCGTGCATCAGACTGCCCAAACAAGTAGATGGTAGAGATGGCGCATTCTTCCCTGCCTGCACGGGGTCGCCCCTTTTGATGACCTTGATCGGCTTCCAACAAGACGGCTGGAGCATCAGGACGCACGCAGAGCAAAAACCCAAGCCCACTCCACCTGCTGATCAGTATACTACGCCCGACATCCAGCCGACGTTATTACTGGCTGGCGCCCCACCGTGTGCGGTAGCTACAGTTTTGTGTGGCCGTCTCGTCGGAACAGAAGATTTTGGCATGCTGACTACAGTTATTACATCCAGAGGAGTTCCTTCAGCTTATTCATGTCATACGGGGTCCACTCTAGTACTCTACAGGGATATGTTGTATTTCTTCTCTCTTTTTGTGTTCTTGATTGAGGATCTCAATATAACTGTAACCACACGAACTGTGTACAGTTGCTTCTGCTACACCATTGCGACAGAGACCGAATTACAATCGTTGGGGATGTCTGTGATCAGCAACAGAGACCGAATTGCAATCGTTGGGGATGTCTCCCAACCAAACGCTATGTTAGATACTTGGATATCTGTGATCTGTGTTGTCTTGCTTCAGGTGTGAACATCCATAGGTGATAGGTTAGCTCCCGTTGCTCCTTTTGACACAGAAAGCAGTATCAGACTTTGTTGCATTAGAAAAGGGTTACGCTGCGCCGGTTGCTCCGGCAGCTCGTCCTCCTGATCTGACCTCGCAAACACACGGTCTGGTCAACGCAGTGGCAGCGTACGGCATGACTGCAGGGAGAAAGTAAACCATCCGGAGCGGTGGCCGCCGCGGTTCAACGTGGTAGTCGGTGGTTGGCCCGCCGTCGAGTAGATCACCCTGGCCGGTAGATGCGTTGAATTTGCAGCTGGTCCTGTCCAGGGAGCTTCTGGTATCAGAAAAGGTTCGGTCGATGCGGTGGGTGGCGAATGATACCGAACTGGCGAACGATCTACGTGCAGATCAGCAGATGCAAAAAGACCTGAGAGGCTTGAGACTATTCCGTCAGGTTAGGTCAGGTCAAGATCCATGCGCATCCAGCGTCTAAAAAATGATCCATGTCTAGCGGCCATGGCAAACACGCGGCTGGCTGAGTAGCTGACCTGGCCTAACCATGGATAAGGCAGAGGCAAAACGTCACCCCCGAGCCCGTGAGCGTCTGTACATTACAGGTGGACGAATGAAGGGTCCATGCAGTTACAACGAGCAGGCACCCTCTGTCTGTTGCCCCTGTGGCCCTGTCCGGCTGTCCCTCGATCGCCACGTCCACGGCAGACGAAGGAAATGATAGCCGCGAGCCGTGCGTGGCTCGCGAGTCGTGACCGCCGGCAACCACTCACTCCCCGTGCGCGTCGTCCTCGTCCCCGGCCCGCGGGCGTCTCGTCGTCACGGGCTCCGTGCACGCAGCCGTACCCTCTCCTTTCTCGCCGTCCAGGCACAGATGCCCCGAGCGGATTAGCCCAAACGAGCAAATGGCGTGTCGGAACCGACTGCCGTCGCTGTTCAGACCCGTGCGATGCGACCGTCCGGCATCGTCGTGCTCGCTGGTGTCAAAGCCCAGGGCAAGAGTTTCCGGAAACGTGACAGGTCGGACAAGTGTCAACTGTTACTGCGACGAGCCGACGACGATACTCCTACATGTATACATGTATAGTAGCCGATGTGCCATCCTGTTCGCTTGATCATATCAGCCATGCTTATCAGTTATGATACAACATTTTTTTTTCATAACAAAACAATATCAACCGACTTATAAGCCAAATAAACGATCAAGTGAACAGGTTAAGACGCACGTACTATTAGCATCGGCTGTTGCCCACTGCCACACTCCAGCGATTTTAGACTGGAGAGGGTCTAGTACTCAAGTTAACACGCGCGGCATGGCTGGTTGACTTGCAAGACACATGTGGGAATCGTATTTCTGGGGATCGGACCACGCACGCACTTGACGTTAATTACTCACACGCGCGCACTGCACGCATCCGCCGCATATATATATATATATATATATATATATATATATATATATATATATATATATATATACCCTGCCGATCGAATCAGTTTAGTTATTGTCAGTCGTGGCACACGTACTAATCTGATTCCGATACCCTGCCGATCGAATCAGTTTAGTTATTGTCACATCGATAGTTCTTTTCTTTTATTAATAATAATGGAAGTGTGGGGTTCCCTGGAATGTGTTCAGATTCCAACGGCCATTGGCATACATATTTGGTTTGATAATTACTCCGTAGTACAAGTAGTACTCGTATACTAATACGTAATTCGTAGTCATCAGTCATGTCATGGTCATGGGCGAATGCAGTGCCCCTACTACCGGTAACTTCCACGAAAGCAACAACGTCGTTGGCGTGTTGCTGTAAGAGTAGTGCAGCATCAGCAACGGAGTGTATGCAGTGCCCCTACCAGAGACACGTCCATTTTGTATGTGTACTACACTAGCGTGATTGCGTGAAGCAAGCAATGCAAGATCGAGCAGCCGCCGGCGTTTAATAACGTACTCCGTCCCCATCATTGGCTAATCATTCATCTAGTGTATATCTAATCTATCCACAACGAGCAAATCTAATCTATCCCCATCATTCATCTTAAGCCTATCTATGGGGTGCAAGACTGCCGCCACATTGCGACGATTTGGTGCTCTGCAATGCTAAACGGAATGTAATCATAGAGCTCCCTAAAATATAGTGTTTGTAAACTTATCTGGCTTTGAGAGCCAACAATCTTATCTGGCTTTGAGAGCCAACAATCAATATAATGCTCACACCCAGATTTATTAAAAAAACAAGCAAAGTGAGCGTAGCTGGTTACAATTTCTCGTGTCTAACCATTAAGTTCTGTTTGCATTTTCTTAAGTTTATTCTAAAATTTTAATATCGCAATTCGTGTGGGGTCTCTTAGGAACCATATAGAAATTGATTCATTTTTTAAAGGAAAACATAGGAAATAGAAAAAAATCCTGCATTCAAAAGGGGGCCTCACTCAGTCTTTCAGAGGTGGTCACAGGTGTAGAGTGTATGTGCGCGCATGTATATAAGTGTATTTTTTTTCAAAGACAAAAAATGGAATTATATCAAAGACAAGGTACACTACAATTCTAAATGACACCTAAAAAATCTGAAATAAAAAAATATAATATTGTATATAATTTTTTCCAACAAATTCTTTCCTGGTGGCTTTTTTTCGATGCGACCGATGCTCTATATACATACGAGTGTGTGTATATGTATGTATTGAGATTCGAAAAAAAAGTCAACAACAACTCCATAGGGCTGCTGCTCCGTTTAAATAAATGGGGGTTGAAAAAGAAAAGAAAAGAAAAGGCGCTAATAACAATTCTATACTGCTAATGGCTGCTGCTGAGACAAGACGCCGTGCATGTAACAGCAGATGAAGTGCATGTTTGCGCAGACACATGGCACGATCGCCATCCACGCACGCGACCTGGTCAACTAAAATAATCACTGCCGCGGCTTCCGGCCGAAGAAACACTAACGTCGTGGCCCGTGCGTGTGTGCCGTGCGTGCTCTGAATCGGACGCAACGGACGTTTTTTCACCCAAACCCCCGCCGGGCCGCCGCGCCTTGGGAATCTGCCGAGCAAGAGCAAACGGCCGCGGCGGCCGAGCAAGAATAGAATAGTGCGGTGGAGGAGACGACTAGTGCGATCCACTCCATGTGTCTACTTCCGTTTCCATCGGCACCGAGAGCCCGAGACCGCTTGGCTAGTTTGGCTGCCTGCTCTCCATGCTTGTTTAGTTCCTGGAAGTTGGAATTTTTGGCTACTGTAGCACTTTCATTTTTATTTGGTAATTAGTGTTCAAACATGAACTAATTAGGCTCAAAACGTTCGTCTCGTAATTTCCCACTAAACTGTGTAATTAGTTTTTTTTCGTCTATATTTAATACTCCATGCACAGACCGTAAATATTCGATATGATATGTACTTTAGCATTTTTTTTTTGGATTTTGAGGCGTACCTAAACACGCGCTCAGCTCGGCTGCCGCAGCCTGCGAGGTGGCCGGACTGGACGACGGATATGGCAGCGACAGCAAGCGAGGCCTCCTCGGTCGTCCCGTCGTCATCGAGCCAAACCGAGGCGTCTGCTCGTGTATCTTTAGCCAGCCGTACGTCCGGACCAGCGGCCCGAACCTTCGTAACCAAGCACCACATTTGACCGGGGAGCTCGGGCCTCCTCGATTAGAGCACCTTCAACACACTCTATAGATTTTTAATAAAAAAATATTCTCTAACATTCTCTTTAATTTGAACTCTATATATAGATATATAGATATCATCCATTTCGAATTTATCGTTAGCAAAGATCTTTCAACAAGAACGACTCTCTAGAGTGCGCACAAGATATAAAAAAACTATTGGAAAGTACAGATATAAAAAGCGATTTTTACGTAAATGATTCTCAAAATGATTGTTTAGTGAGTAACTTTGGAAATATTTTTTGGAGATACTCTTACAGGGAGCAACTAAAGATTAGCTTTGGTTTAGTTAAACAGAAGAGCTAATGGGTGAACTAGTTTTTAGTCAAACTTAGCTAGTTGTTAACCTATTAGTCAGCCATGACCAGCTAATAATGGTTGCGCTGGCTAATAGTTACCTGACTATTCCTAAAAAAATAGTTGCTTGACTAATTTTAGCTCCGGCTAATAATTAGGCTATGTTTAGATCCTTGTAGCTAATAGTTAGCTGGCTATAGGCCCCGTTTGGCTTGCTAAAACTTGGCTAAAACTGGCTGAAAAACACTGTTATGGCTGAATTATTGTGAGAGAAAAATACTATTCCAGCTAAAAAAAGAAGTCGAACAAGCTATATATTTGAGTATTGTTTGGATCCACTGGCTATAAGGCAGAGCCATTGGTGGTCCCCCTAAAACTCCATTCATTTTCTATTTGTTATTAAAGTTAGTTTAAAGTGAATTAAAGTAATGAATTAAAATGGTTCTCCACTAGCGAATTTTATTCAAATGGTTCTCCAAATGATGAATTAAAGTGAGTTTAAAAAAGTCTCTTAGAGAATTCTCTTAAGTTTGTTTGAAATAGCTAGTGAGATACTTCCTCCGTTTCGTTTTATAAGGCATGGTCTTCTAAATTACAATATGATTATTTATTTATTTTACAGTGTATGGATACAAACTTATTATAGCTGGATAGTATATTTAACTACAAATCCAACATCATCAACTTTATATTATAGTAATTAAAAGTTATTATCCAAATTATCGATCAAAGATTTAAAAGTTAAAAAAACGATATGCGTGTGCATATAATAAAAGAGAATGGAGGGAGTAGTTCTTAGCTGGGTGTCCAATCGAAAAATTAGCTTGGTTTGAATGGATCCAACTCAACTAGTAATTTTTAGCAACTAATAACTACCCCTTCCATCCCCTATAAATCAGCTTTTAGTTATGTATCTACAACAAGTGTTTAACTTTTAGCTATGTATCTAAAACAAGTGTTTGTCTAGGTTTATAGTTAACTAGGTAGCGTACCCGTGCGTTGCTACGGGACAACTAAACTTTTGTAATAAAAACACACGAATTGCACGATAAGATAACAATACTGTAAAATTAAATACCAACGTTAAAGTGATATTTAATAAAAAAACAAAGTTTGTGAAATTAACACGGTCACGGAGTGCGCCGCATCACATGCTCACAAACTCTACCTTAAAGACCTTTTCGTGATGCAGCTAAGATAATGTTTTGTATCGGCAGGAAGAAATCTCCGATAT